TCACAGCTCATCGGTCGAGCAATCTATAGACACAAAGTTTTAAATGACGATAGAACAAGAGCAACACTGATAGGATTGACAAATTATGGCACACTGACACAGTCTATGTGTCAGTTCTTGAAAGAACAGGTTACAGAAAATATTCGATATAAATCTAATCACTGATCATAGGTTTTGGTGTATTTTGAAACTATAGCACGGTGATGTATGGGATCTGAAGAAAATGTTCGTGGAACAATGGCAATCGAAATTCGACAGTGATAACGGAACTGCACTCGACAAGCATCATACGCATTTTCTTCTGCTTGATTTTGGCAACAAGGGATACTATCTCAGTGATCAATGTCGCTCTGAGCTCGTTCAAGCAGTATGTGATAAAAACACAGTCTATGCTGTAACAATCATTGTTGAAGGTGGTCCTAACACGTTGGAAGTGATTTTGAATGATTTGGAAAATAAGCGGCCAGTCATTATCATCAATGGTAGTGGCAGAATGGCCAGCCTTTTGGGAACATTACTCGAGCAACTTCAAGAAACCAACATGCTTGAGTAAAAGAGATTGTTGCTTTTTTAGGATGTTCACCAAAATTTTCATTATATTGTAGACCCTACGAAATCGAGCGACATTTGAATCTCTTCCCGGCACTCGTTCCAAGTAACACAGAAGAGCGCAACGAACTGATACACAAAATTCAAGAGGTACTAAATCCAAAAAATCAGGATTATTTGAATGTATTCAATCTTGAATATGATACCGATCTAACGAAAACTGTTTTTCGCGCTGCTTTGCGTACTCAGACAATCGAAGAAAAAGAAGAGAGTGAGATATCAGATGAACACACTTTCGCAATAGTTTCTGTTAAAGGACGGGGGCGCATAAGACCGTAATTTGGCCCATTGGACTTTTCATACTATATCCAGCACAATCATATATAGGATGAAAGAGCTTCAACTGGCGAGTACTTTCCAATACATTTGACGACTTCCTACCCTATGATTACGAATGATCTTATTACGAATATATAGTAATTACATGACAACCTTTCAGATTAGTTTTCTCCATATAAATTCAAGAAAGTCANCCGTGGTCGCATTACTCGCTCCGACCAGACCATTTAGCAAAGATATCGATTACACATTCTATTTTTTCGGTGGTCCTGGGGCCTTCCCACCCTTGATCAATAGCTTCATTGCTGCTAATCTTCCAGCTATTGTCACGTATGTGTTCACCAATTCACTCTCCTTTGATCTCAATGATGCTATAAAACTAACCATAAAAAAACTTGATCTCACTCCACAATCTATCTATTGCAGTTATGCTGCACTATCGCCAGCTCATTACCAAGAAAGCAATCAACAGTGGCACATCAATATGATCCTCAACTTAAATGGCAAGATCTTTGCTTCTATAATGTACCATGGCATGAGTATTGATTTTAATGCAACTATTGGTGCCGCTTCTATGTTGATGCAAGCAACAATCAACATCAATGATCATCAAGGTTTCTCTTGTATAGTGACACGATTGGCATTCTCCATTCAGAGTTTCAGTATCAATGACAACTTAGTAATGCTCTTAAAAACATTCTTCTCTACATGGTACAAGCTTATTGATACGCCCTACCATCTAGCAAGTACACTCAACATGAAATACAATAGCATTATCATTGACAAATTGAACATCGAGGTTAGCAATCTTATAAATACAACATTGATTCAGGAAATATTCAACATGAGATCGATGCCTAACAGAACGTTTCATAAGGATGTTTATAAAATGGAACAAACAGAAACGCATTACAGTCGCTGGATGTCAACTCCAAAAATCCAGTCGAAGACCCTTTCACAGCTAAAAATTCCTGGAACTCACAATTCTGGATCGTATGATCTAACACGAAAATTATCTCAGATCATCTATGGAAATATCAAATTTCTGTGGAGTTTAAGTGCCGATACTGCCCCAGCAAATGGTCAGCTACCATTCAGTAAAGATAAGATTTACGTTGGTCGCATCTTGTTAGACTATATTCTTGAAACTGCGCTTCGAATATCTCTTTCGCAGAATCGAACCATTCGACAGCAACTCGATGACGGTATACGCCTTTTTGACTTGCGGATTTACTATGATACAGATGGATCCTTCTATATTCAGCATGGTATTCGTGGTCCTGAGCTGAATGATGTACTCCATCAAGTTAAAAGTTTTCTCGATACTCATTCTACATCGGGTGAATTAATTTTCCTTTCTATTTCTCATACCAATTTTGGTATTGATCCTGAAATCCTTCCAGCTAAAGTGACGACAATCATTCAAACCAATCTGAAATCTTCTCTCTATATGCCTGCGAATTCCGTCGGAGTCAAAANCGAAGAAAGACAATTGAAATGCTAACACATAAGTTTAACAAAAACAATAAAGACTTTTACAGTCAATAATAAATATCTCAACAATAATCGATAAGAAAGATTTTAACAACAATCAATAATAAAAAAATATAGAGAAATGAGAACATGAAGAGTGAATAGATAAAGAAGAGGAACTCTACGATTTGAGCTAAACATTAGTCATCACCTCAATCAATCACCATGAAAGCAGAACATTATTCTATACTTCTCCCGATCGCTAGCATTACCCTCAATTTCTTAAAAAAAAATGTATATTGAAAAAAAAACCTATATTTATAAAGAATATAGACAGGCCAGGCGGCCTGGTGTTTTTAAGCGGCCTGCCTGGCCTGGCCTGCTGGTGATAGGCCAGGCCTAAAAAACGCAGCCTGTGCCTGTGACAGGCAGGCAGGCCTAGTGGCCTGGTTGGACCTCTGATAGGTATTGATCGGTCATACCGATGGTATAATCGATGCAACAAATATGATTCGACCTTTGTATCAGTGTCAGACGTATACAATATCACCATTTATGAATTAATTGAAATATATAATAGTGTGATGAGAGTGGCTTACAGATATAAACTACATTATTCTAATAGTCTTATTGATGAAATAATCGATGATGAAAAAAAAAGTAATTTCAAATAAAAATAAACAAAGAAAAATTATTATTATTGAGTGTATAGCAACAATAATAAAAAAAAGATCGGGCGCGCTTAAACGAAAACGAGAGTTTCAATTTTATATGTAGAAATTAAATGATCAATTATTTTTCTTGTCAGCAATTATTTACAAAAAAAACCTGTAGTCGACGAGAAAGCTTTCAGTTTACAGATGACGTATTAACATAACAAGACTGAAGGGTATACATGAGTTCCACATTTTAGCTCCAAAGTAGCTGCGCTAACAAGCTTTTTATCGTCTATACAGGATTGAGCGGAAAACTATGACAAATATGAAAGTAAACTACATAAACTATCATTGAAATCGGAAAGCTACTAAAACCGTTTCTTCGCATGGCATCTATTTGCTTTTCATCACAAAAAAAATCTCATATGACACACGTTGTGATTCAAGCTAAGAAACGGCAATATGATTTGAATAAGTGGCCTATTGCAATTATTTGATTAAACTTTTCGCTTCAATTTTTAGAGTTACTCCTTAGTAAATCGGGTTTCCACATAGAAAAAATCTTCGTTTTCAATCGACAAAAGAGGTCATATTGATCAGAAATTTGTTTCAAAAGTACTACGCGATTGATCCTCAATATGAGTTACTTCAATGTAGTAATGCGATCTACATCAATACTGAATCGTTTATTCAGTCAACAATTACTGAAAATCAGAATTGAGATAGTCAGTCCGGTGTTTCCGCCATTCAACATGTAAAAGTTTTCAAACAGATCTCGAATAGCCTGAATAGTTCATGATACTATGTTTGTTTTCAGAAATATTTCGTAAGATATGAAACTGATTTTATAATAGGATGAAAATTGATTGTGCATATCACTATCTATAGAATAACTATAGAATCGACCAGTGTGTCCGGCCGGCTTACCTGCCATTTACACAATAACTCTTGAAAATATGAACCGATTGCCATGAAACTTTTTGCATAGAATCGTCTCATCAATATCTCGGTCAAGTTCGAAGATGAGAACGATTGGTGAAGAAATTGCTTAGTTATTGTAGAAAAGGTTATTTTTTCCTATGCTTTTCTATGCAAACATTGACCGATCCCGGTTTTCGTAAAAACCTTTTTTTCTCATAATCAAAATAAAAACCTCAACCTATATATACAATTCAATAGAGAATTTCATCGGCTACAAAATGGTAAAAAAACAGTAAGAAACAAGAAGGCTAAGTCATCTGTTGCAAAGATACTTAAACAGAAATTGCTTCTGCGTTTGTTCATACTTTGATTGATCGAAAATTGAAGCCCCGTTTTCCGATCAGAGGAGTGATTTTTCGACGTTTTATCAAACTTGAAGAAAGGTTTTCTGGGACAGAAAACTTGAAGCTGAGCTCCACTTGTCTCAAAATCCTGTTGGTTGACCAGTAACTAGTGTACTGCGTGATCAAAAATTTCACGATCATGACCACGCGTGATCATGCGTGATTAGAAGTCTTTTTCGTGATCGTGATTGTGATCGAATCTAAGATTTAGTAACTACGATTGCAATATGACGTTCAAAATTTCAGCGATTTATTTTAGAAATATAACCCTCTAATGAAAATAAATAAAAGTTCGCTACATCTTTAAGGTATTTTCGTGCATATAAATAGACGAAAATTATCGACTTTTGCTCTTGGCTTCTATTCCCTTTGACCATATTCAATACAATACATCAGATAGATGGCACGGTCGACCGATAGAAGATTTTTCTCATGTTTCTAAATATCATGTTAATAAGAGTTCATTTTCAGTGCTTCATTCAAAATTTTTGCATTCTTTCGGTTAGTTGTACAGATTGTTTTGACTGTTGTATGTAAGTAATACGAATATTTAATATCAGTAATATGAAAACTATGCTGTAAACCTTCGTCTTACTTAGTCTATCTACTACTAGCAATGTTCAAGATAGAATTTTTCTCTTGGTCGTATCTGATTCTATCAGCTGAGAAGTATATAGCATGCTTTTTCACATCGTACCTGTAAATCTTTAGCCAATTTTTCTGTTTCGTGTAAAACCGGTGTTGTTAACCCAAACGTCAGATTAAGCATTTTGAGTTCATCTTTGGATTTCTCGATGGAAAACAGTCGAACATAATCCGGTTCACATTTCAGTATTCCGCATATTGCTGCACAAAAATCTAGTGCAAAATTTTCCATCGCATCACGCGAATGTGCCAATTCATCATAATCAAAATTTTTCATTTGAAATTCGAATTTAGCCGTCGGTATGATATCAGCAAGAAGTATTGGGATACTACCAAAATCAGCCATACCACAAACAGCACGTTGTGAACTATATTGAAATGGCATATCGTTTTTGGAAAAATTTAATTCACTATCAAAATTTTGAGAAAATTTTTCAAGTGCTAATATGAGCGTTTCCACGGAATTAGCACCTAATTGAAGTGGTTTATTATTAAAATCGGTTGATTCGCCAAGCATTGTTCGATAACGTGCCACGGTAATGTATGGTTGTTTATCGATAATGTCGTCTGGACAGATAATGTCTTTCAATACCGATTCTTGATCATCGGGTACGAAATATTCGGGAGCCATTTTGAATTGTGTTGATGTATCTCCGATAGTCATTCGCGTAATTTGCAGTGGAGAATGTGAAGGAGCCGCTGGTAACACTACGATTTTTTTTGAATTGGTATTATCAATCGGTGGTGGTGTGACCGATTTCGTTGATTCGCTACTGGATACTTGTTCAGGCATCGGAGATGGAGTCCTTGTGCGAGACTCTGTCTTTGTCTTTGTTGCTGAGCTCTTACTAGAACTTCTAGTGTCTCGAGGAATAGGTGGTAATGGTGTTAGCCTCAGCGATTGTGGCAGCGGTGACTCATGATCATCAAGTTCGACTAGGGGTGGTAGGTTAATATCTGATTTCGTTCCGACACTTCCTGAAAATATGAGAAAATATAGGATTTCAAAAGAAATTTATATCGGACTATTTCAATAATATAGGACGTATCTTTTCACTAAAACAGCATCATTTAATATGATGGAAAAGCGTCGAAGTATGATCCAATCATGTACTTACAAATTTTCAGAGGAAAAGATAAAAATTTCTGTAGAAGAATCTTAACATTGAAAGACATCTTTTAGAAATGAAAATGTTTTATTTTACAACCTACGAGCATTTTTTTCTTAAGAATAGGATATGGCTCCTTTCAGTACATCTGTAGTTAACGGCTTCAATGACAATACTTAAAACAAAAAAAGGGAAAGGTTTTGAAAAGAACTTATCACCTCTTTTCTATACAAAAAAACAAATGCCAATGTTTCATAACTACTAATATCTTATATAACGAAAGCTATTTAGGAGACGTTCCATGAAAAAAATCAAGGATTTCTCACTTATCGAAAAACATGATGGAATTCAGATTTTGAATTCAATACCATATGAAGATAGTCCACCTCATACGATACTCGAATCCAGAATATTATGATCTGAAAGCTTGTTGTTGATTGTCTGTAGCAGATTTACTGATCACACCTCATTTGACATTACAAAGCTATCTTAATGTTAATACGTTAGCGCTAAAATTAGCTTTTACGAAATAATACAAAAAGTATCACACTTCGTTTTAATATTAATGCATAACTATTAGTATTATCTAATACTTAATACTAACTTACCATTTTCAATAGATTCAACATTCTTCGGACGATAGGCCAATCTTTCCAAGATTTTTTCGCGTGAATAAACGATTTTCATATCGTCGTTTCGAGTATTTATTAGATCGATAAGAATTCCAGTCACATTTTCTAAACGTAAACTGATCTGTTTATCGATCGCTTTTCCTCTTTGTTGTTGTTTGCGTATTAGTTTGTTTTGACGTTTTTGTTCCTGTTCAATATGTTTGTTCAGTTTATAAAGATTTTCTAATTCTTCCATTGTTATTTAACAAATTGAATGAGATCCTGTTTATCTAAAATAGAAATTATTGCATTGCATCTGAAAGAAGAAAACTACGACGCTATAAGAATTAGACTAAGAAATTTTTAAGCATAGCTGATTGAAAGACTCAGAGAGGGGAGTGGCTATGCTTTCCTTTCCACTTCTGACCGCTTCGTGACGGCACTATAATGAAAATCTTTGAAAATGGGCAACTTTTGTCGGGTTTTAGTGCACTGAGAAGGTATGGATTGGTCGTGCGATTCACGACTCAAAAACGAAATAATTCAAATACTATTTATCCTACGAACAAGCAATCACTTCGAAGTCGCATTTTTCTCTCTTGTTCTGCATTTTATGTTTCTAGCGATAAGACAATAAAAGAAACACGTACTTGAATTTTTTTTGCTAGTGAATCTAAAAGTGCAAGTATATGACTTGAATAGTCGTTTTGCCATTCAAATATTGACATATAGCAAATTTATGAGCACGCCTCTTTTGAGATTCTGTTGAGTTGAAATTGTAGGAAGAAGCTTAAACTCAAATGAAGTTTCAATTCGTTGTGATCAACTTTTTTGAAATAAGCTTAACCGATGGACACAGGACAAGCATTGTTGAAAGTATTAGATTAGCTATAACCTTCCTATAGACCCAACGAGTTCAAACCAAGTTGGAATCAAGACGTTTGGAGCGCAAAAGGTTTACTAGAAAATCCAAGAACATGCTAATGGTTTCTTTTAAATTCAATTTCTTATTTTTGACGTTCAAACACTGGATTTTTCTCAGTCCAACCGCATTCTCAACCGATTCTATATCTCTGTCATATCAAGCGATTCGATGCCATTGATCGAGAAACACTCTGGATAGATGACTCGTGAAACAAAAGATGATAATAGTGAAAGCGACTGTTTTCATCTGCTTCTCGTCTTCAATCAATTCGATTTCGAAACACCAGAATATGGTAAAATCTATTTTTTAAATATGTCGAACGAGCCATCCTAAAATTTTATCGTACCATGAGGGTGTGGGTGTCGGTGTGGGGTGGTTGTGGGTGGGTGTGGGTGAGTGGGTGTGAGTGTGGGTGTAGGTGCGGGTGGGTGTGGGGGTGGAGGTGCTGGTGATCGAAGAAGAAAAACCCATACCCACACCCACACCCATACCCACACCGACACCGATGCCCACACCGACACCGATACCCACACCCACACCCATACCCACACCGACACCGATGCCCACACCGACACCGATACCCACACCCACATGGTACGATAAANTTAGAACAACGTTTTACAATGGCTAACTGGAATGACGAACAAAAATTACGATATATTTCCATACATTTACAGGATGATGCACATAGGTGGTGGATGCAAACATCCACATCAATTAAAACATGGTCAGCATTTATTACAGCTATTACACAAGCTTTTGGATCAACAAAGGTACAAGAATTAGCATTTGAACAATTAAAATGGTATAAACAGACAGTTAATCAATCCATTACACAATATTATGATAAAATTATGGAATTATGCAAAAAAGTCGATCCTATAATGCCTGATTCTTTGAAATTGAAATATTTAATGGCTGGAGTGAAAGAATCATTGAAAACGCATGTAGCGTTACAAGATCCCAAAACAACTGAAGCATTTCTATTATCGGCAAGGAAGATTGAAGATGTATTATCACTTACCAAAACAAATAATGAATTATCTGACAATGATATTACCATTATCAATGCAACTGGTTATCAAAATCAAGTACGTAATCAAGCAACATTCACACAAACATCAAACAATAAATTTAATCAAAAAAATACTGGCTATGCAGATGCAGCAGAAACTCGTACAACTTCTAATAAGAATACAACAGCTGGAAATAACGCAAATCGACAAAATAAATTCTCAAATTTTACAAGATCAACACAGAAATTAGGTGTTTGTTACAATTGTGGTACTCCTGGCCATTATGCCCGGGATTGTACCCGTCCCCATTTTCAATAGGGGAAGCATCGGTCGATGGTGTTGCTTCCAAAAATTTATATATTAATCCATCGACATTAAACACATCCCTTTTATATCTTATAGTTTCTGTGAATAATAGATGTATGAAAGCAATGATAGATACAGGTGCAAATAGAACTTTTATTTCAATTAAAGCATTAGATCCATCATATGGTAAGATGTTTGTTAATAAATTACATAAATGTGTATTTTTAGCTGATGGATATTCGTCTATTTCTGTTTATGGTACATTAAATTTATCTATTATTATGGGTGATACATCAACTTCTATTAAAGCATTTGTTGTTAAAGAATTATGTGCTGATTGTATATTAGGAATGGATTTTATTAACAAGTATAAGTTAATTATAAATACAGAAGAAAAAATTGTTTCACTTTACAACAACTATAAACGCATAACATTAAAATTTGATATTAATTCAAATGAAAAGAAATATCCAGCACGTTTAATTAATAATATTCGAATTCCACCAAAACAAACAAGGTCTATTCCTGTTTCTATTGAATTATCATCAGCTAATGTAGTATTGCGTCCATCGTTTAAATTACAACAACGAACACCTCTACTTACGTTAAATTCTTCATTAAAAGTTCACGATCATACATCAAACATTTCACTTTATAATCCAACGAATTATTCATATTCATTACCAAAAGATTTAATACTAGCTACAACAACTGTTCCTACATTATCTTTTAGTAAATGTGCATCTATTGATCATCAATTAGTTAATGATAACATCAATAAATTAACTCGACATATTTCAGATTCAACACAAAGAGAAGAAATCGAGACAATCCTTCATCAACATGAAAAACTCTTCGATACAAGTAAACCTGCAATTGCTATTAATGTGAAACCACATGAAATTAAGACATTTGATCATCCTCCACCATCATCTAGACCATACTATTCAACGCCTCACAAAGAAGAAGAGATGCACAAGATCGTTCAAGAATTATTATATTATGGTTTAATTCGTAAATCTTATTCTCCATTCGCAGCACCAGCATTATTAGTGGCTAAACATGATGGATCATGGCGAATGGTAGTCGATTACAAAAAATTAAATAATATGACAATTAAAGATAATCATCCGTTACCTAATATGGAACAAACAATACGACGATTAGGTGGTGGTTACAAATTCTTTTCAAAATTAGATATGAAGAGTGGATTTTGGCAAATACCAATTAAAGAAGAGGATAAACATAAAACGACATTCATTACAGTTGATGGATTATATGAATGGAATGTATTAGCTCAAGGTTTGAAGAATAGTCCACCATCATTTCAAAGAGTAATGGCTGATATACTATCTTCTTGTCGACAATTTTCATTAGTTTATATCGATGATATTGTGGTATTCTCTCGTTCATTTGAAGAACATCTTAATCATCTCCAACAATTATTATGTATTTTATCCAAGTATAATTTTCAACTCAATCCACCAAGATGTAAATTATTCCATCAGAAAATTGATTATTTATCTCATATTATATCCGAAGGAGGTTTTCAACCAAATAATGAAAGAATACAATCAATTATGAATTTGAGGAAACCTTCTACGTTAGTAGAAGCGAATAAGTTCCTGGGTGGTTTATCATGGTATAGGAAATTTATTCCACGATTTACATCCATAGCTGTACCTATTCACAAAGTGACAAATTTAACAAAAAATAATAGAAAAAATTTTAGATGGGAAAAGCCACAACATGAAGCGTTTTTACAATTGAAACAGTTCTTAATAACTTCTCCATTATTTCTTGATTATCCAAATGATAATTATCCTGTCATCTTGACAACAGATGCATCGAAAGTTGGCATTGGAGGAACCTTACAACAGAACATCAATGGTGAAATTAAGAATCTTTATTATCATTCACAAGTAACATCTTCTACTCAAAGAAGATATGATCCAATTGAATTAGAAGCACTAGCAATATGGATGTGTTTCCAACGTATGCGATCTTATTTATTAGGAAGATCAATTATCATTTATACTGATCATTGTCCGTTATGTAACATGATGAAGTCAACAGTAAAAAATCGAAGAGTTGATCGTATATCAATATTATTACAAGAATTCAATATCGAAAAGATCATCCATATTAAAGGTCAACACAATTGTTTAGCTGATTACCGATCTCGTCATCCAATTCCAAGAGAAGAAGAAATATTTGATGAAGATTATGGCATTGGTAAACGAAATAAAGGGGAACCGACTGTTATGGTACGTGTTCCTGATGAAATTCCTCCACTAGCTGGAGCTATTGTAACAAGATCTAAAGCGAAACAATTACAATTAAAGCAAGATCAAAATTCAACAACAACACCAACAGATAGAAATAAAACAACATTACCACCAATAGAAGAAGAAACTGATCAAATGAAAGAAGATCCATCACAAATTATTGCAAAAAATACACTGGATATAGAACTATTAAAAATTGAACAAGGAAAAGATTCGGATATTCAACAAAAAATTGCAGAAGTTATGAACAATCCAATTAAAAGTACTTATGAATTTAAGGATGGTTTATTATATAAGTTAATGATTATGCGTGAAGGTTGTAATACGAAGAAAAAATTAATTTATTTGCCTTCATCTTTGATTAATGATCTTTTACAAGTTTATCACAGTGCTCCTCTTAGTGGTCATTTTGGAATTCAACGAACATATTTGAAGATTAAAAATAAGTATTGGTGGCCAAATATGAAACAATCGATCATTCAATACATACAATCATGTTTACCGTGCCAGCAATATAATATCAGTAGATCAAAGAAACCTGGTCGATTACAACCAATTCCACCACCTGAAGGACCATTTCAATTAATCGGTATGGATTATTGTGGTCCATTTAAGCAAACTCCACGTGGTAATCAATATGTATTATGTCTTACAGATTACTTCACAAGATGGGTGGTTGCTGCTGCTGTACCTGATTGCTCAGCTAAGACTACTGCTGAAGCATTATTTAATGAATTCATTTGCAAGTATGGGGTACCGGCAGTCATATTATCCGATCAAGGAACGCACTTCCACAATCAATTGATGGAAGCTATGTCAAAATTAATTGGATATAATCACATATATTCAACCACATACCATCCTCAATCTAATGGAATGATAGAGAGGTTTAATGCAACATTCGTACCTCAAATTGCCAAACTTCAAGACAAAGAGAACAATAATTGGGATGAATTTCTGTCACCTGTAGTATTTGCATATAATACAGGGACACATTCAACAACTCAATATTCACCATTTCAATTATTATATGGTCGAGAACCAAGATTACCTACTGATGGACCAATATCATCATTTACATTTCATAAACCAAATGATTATTATGAGCAATTAAAGAAAAGTATGAAATTAATACATGGATATGCTCGTGAAAACATTATTCGTAAACAACATCAATATAAAACTCAATATGATAAACGACGTCCTGATCCTCATTATGCAATCAAAGATCGTGTTTTAATTAGAAGACATGGAATGAAAAATAAATTAGAACCAAAATATTCAGTTACACCACAAATTATTATTCGAGAAAAATATCCCGTTTATATTGTTAAAGATGAAATAACTCAATGTGAAACACGGGTACACATAAATGATATTAGACCCATTTATGTTTCAAGATCAAATTAATAAAAAAAGAAAAAAAAAAAAAAAAGAAAGTAAAACAAAAATCAACAACACCAGATTCATCAATATTTTTATCAAAATCTTTATTAATATTTTTACAAATATTTTATTGATAGTATTATTAAAATTTTTATCATTTTTATTATGCATTCATTGATAAATATTTTTTTATTGATTTTGGAAAAGACTTATGTTAACGATGTTTTATGTTGTACTATGTTGGATGTATGCGCAACAACTGATATGGAATAACATTCGTCGTCTATGAATTGGATTAATTGATATTTTAAAATACGCGTATTAAAAAATCAATATTATCATCAAATCCAAATGGAAAATTAATAATGACAATATTTACAATTACAAAAAAAAAAAAGAATGATGAATCATTGATGGAAACTTTCTCGAAAGGAATGTTTCTGAACAAAACCAATCATATTAAGTAGTAAATTCGTCCTTATGTAAATGACATCTATGGTCAATATTCGATCACAAGAGGGTTGTGTTCAAAAATGGATGACCAATGGCTATTGGTCAATATCGTCTTCGAATGAATATCTTTTATTTTATTTATTATTTATTTATTATTTATCTACTTATAATTAGATTGTTAAGTGATCCACTTCAATTATCAATTCGTTTACTTAGTCATTTACTCATATTTAATCATGTTCATGTCCAAATCAAATTCATCATCTCAACGTTCATCATCTGGTTCTTATTATCAATCATCTCAACATTTATCATCTCATGCATATCGTTCATCTTATGCAAAACATTATCCAACATTTCATGTTCACTCGTCGGACTATGAATTAGTATTTATCAACAACAATACATCAACACATACGATAAACAAATTATTAAATCATGTGGGTACATGTAAACAATATGCAATAGACACAGAGTCTGAACGAACGAACAATCAATTATCATTAATACAAATTAATTCTATACCAATTGAAGCACCATCACGTGTAATGTTATTCGAACTGAAGCATTTACCGAATCAACATTCACAAAAGTATGACAAAATTCTTCAATTGTTTCAATTAATTTTTAGGTTGGACAATGAAATTTATTCCTGGGGAGACATGCAAAGGGAACTTGAACCAGCAAAAGATTTAATTATCTGGCCAATTCCTGCAACATTAAATAATATTCAACCACATTTTCCTGCATGGTATAATTGGGCACGGACCCAGTGTAGGGTCCAGAGCCTGTCACATCGAAATGATACGAATGATGATAATGAAATTATACAACAACATCAACAACAATTATTATGTCATTGTCATCCACCGTCACCATACCAAATTAATGAACTCTGGTCTCTTCAAAATGCATTTAGGTATGGATGTAATTTATTTTTAGATAAATCGTGCACACTAAGTCATTGGTCATCAAGTTTATCATCAAGTCATTCATCATTATCACATGCTGATCAAAAGAAGATGATCCATTATGCTACACACGATGTTATGGCTGTTACATTTTTAATACGACCAATTACTGAAAAATGGACATTTGACAAAATTAAAAATAGGAAAATGAATGAAATGTTTGTCGCATTTGATTCAATTAAACTTCCACCATTACCAACATCAAAAAATAAAAAAATCAAGAACATCAACATGCAAAAATTCGCTACATTATTTAGATGTAATGATCCAGATGCAGAAGAAATTTCATCGGACGATGAGATATATTTAAATCAATTAATTAAACAAAATGATTTAAAAAATGAACAAAATAATAAGAAAAATGATGACGATGATGAAATTATGTTAGAACAAGATCAAATTGAACCAATTGATGACAATTATATACCCGTTAATAATAATTTATTAAATGATAATGAATTAATTGTCAACAACCATTATATGGTTGATGACGTCAATGATAAAGAAGAAACAGCACCAACGAAAAAACATACAAAGCATCAACAACGATCCATACAAGCTCGACATAGAAGAAATCAACGAAGAAACAAAGCACTTAAAAGAAAACGGTATTATTATTCAATTAAACGTAAATGGTATCCTCGTTTTACGATGTTAATCATCCGAAAAATCCTTCGTTTATATAATATTGATTATACACATGTTAGAACAGATGGAGACAAATTACTAATCGGATTGAAGAACCAACAACGTGAAAAAACAGCTGAACATCAACTGCCAAGCAACATCTTCAACAGACAGAGTTATCTCCATTACCGAAAATTATTTCGATGATGGTGTTCCTGTTGTTGATATTATATTTTTTTGTTTGTTTTTTGTTGTTATTATTTTTTGTTTTTTTTCTTTCTTGTCTTTCATTTTATTTTATATTGTTATACTCTAGTCAGGTTTTTTTTCTCCTTTTTCATGTTGTTGTTACTATTTTTGTTGTTATATTTTCTCATAAAAAAAAAAAAAGTATTTTTGTATCCAAAAAACTTTTTCTTGGGGGGTAAGGGTGTTACATCCTGCCATCTATTTATGTAGTTATAGCTCTTTCGTGTTTGTGATTGTCTCTCTCTCTCCCTTGTTATTCTTTTGTTATATATATTAGTGAAAGAGAAATAAAACAGTAGTTATGCTTTAACAAAACGAACTCGAACGTCTTTTATTCTCTATATAAAATAAAGCATAACATCATCCATTACCAAAAATGGAACAAACAATTCAAACATTAGGNGTTAGTGTAAAACATTCTTGCAATGTACATTGAATTTCAAAATGTAGGTCTAGAGATTTAAGTAAGAACTGATGCATAAATGGGTCCCACGGTATATCGAAGAAAACCATATTCGTATGACTAGTAACAACAGCTATATCGTGTTTCACATTTTTTATCCCACAAAAGATTGCGCTAACAGCTTTTTCTTCTGCTTTCATAAAATAGAACAAATCCCATATATTTGAGTGATTTCGATAAATACGAGAATTTATTATATTATGATAACCTGCAATTTAGATGTCCGTGGGTGTGCGGGTGTGGTTATCTTCTCTCTAGTCGCATACCTGCAATCATATCCACACCCATTCGCCGATACTGATCATGCAATAATTGCACCTTTATCCAATACGTGTTAAAACAGTCTTTCTTTAAGAATTTTACTCTTTATTCTTATATACAACTTTTTTTCGACATTTTCCCCTCTCACTCTTTTTTTTTGTTTCGACGCTTTTTACTTTCAACATTTTGACTTTTAACCAAGGTTGAGTTTGCCGAGTCTTCTCTTCGATAACATTCAGATGCAGACTCACACTCTAGAAGGGATTTATTTCTGCGTCAATGTAATTCTACATTGTATTGTTAAAAATCACTCTTTCTTGTGTGATATCAAATGTTCATAAAAAACGTGACATTGAAAAGTAGTATTTTTTGCAAGAAGCGAAATTCTTTGTCTTATATTTCCTATATTCAAATCTGGTTCGTACGAACCAACAAACAGAATACATGAATTGCTCATTGCTCTTGATCATTACAAGCGATTTGAATTTTCCCATATTTTTTCTAAACAAGAAGCCAAAAAAAAAAGAGAATAATTACCTGAAAGAAAATACGAATCATAAGCTCACTTCAAATTGCCATAAACATCGATTTTTTTCATTCAGTTGTTTTTGTAACAATTGCACCTGTTGACTAATAAAAGAATGACTGTTATGTGGATCCATTTGACGTATGATCATCTTAGCCTTTTCTAAATATTGAATATAATGTTTTTCCAAAGCATTGGTTTCCTCAATTTTCTTCATTAGCAACGCATCCTTTTCTGTCACTTGTTGTTCTGTAAAAACCCAAGGAAATAAACTGATAGCAGAAATCGACATTCTCTTCAACAACGAACCGGCCATTTCCAATTTTTGTTTTAATTCATTTATTTGACTTTGCATTCGAGTAGATTCCTGTTCATACTGAGACTTGTCATAATTGAAGGACTTTTTCAGATCGATCACTTCAGTACTATTTTCCACAAGTGTTGTTGTATTTTGCTGAGTTGCATTCAATTGAAGAATCTTTCGATTGGCCATCCTGAAGGTAAACGAAAAGAAAACAATGCATAATCGTACCAAGATGACATAACTCCAATCGTTTGTCTACCGTAAAGCATTGGTTAATTGATTGTTTTGATATTTGAGTCGTTGGCAATCGACTTCAAGCAGTAAGAGTTGTTCTTCATCATTCTCTTCATGTTTTGAATGAATAAGATGTTCCCTAAAACAAATGAATTCTTTTTTGTTCGTTCAAGCGTAACAAATTCGTATAGTTTTCTCAACACTCACCTGACATCAGCAGATGAATTCAAAATATTAAGATCTTCAAGTAATACAGTAAATTTATCTTGTGAGTTTATTTGAACAATATCTAAATGAACCGATCAATCATCTACGCAATTACTACTCTATCAAATATTACCGTCATCAAAACTAATCACGCGAAAGTTTTTCTTCGTGTTTCGCTGCAATTGGATTTCATTCATCAGACTCTAGAAAAAATAATTTTAGTAATTCATCCTCATATTTTCTATTCTTCTTTCATCTAAAAACCTCTTTCTCTGTAGTAACCATATTGAGAAGTTCTTCTGAGCGTCGTCGTTCGAGTTCTACTTTATCAACCATATTTTGTAGTTCATTGATTTTCTGATGCAAGGCTTGATTGATTTTTTTATGAAATTCGGCTTGAGTTTGGATTAATTTTGCTTGTTCATATTCATCCTCGAGATTCGATTTTTCGTTCATTAAACGTAAGTTTGTTTCTTTGAGATATTTCATTTGTTGTGGTAAATCAGTCATCTCCGCAAATGTGATCTTATAGGCATCAATAGTCGATTCTAGTTTGGTCTATAATGGTCACTGAATTAATTAATGTACTATTCTAGTGTTAAAATCGTATACCATTTTTTCGCATTTACTTCTAAGGAAATCGAGTTCATCTTTGACATCGTGTGCATAATTTGCCAGAGCCATAAGATCATCATTCTAGCAGAAAAAATTCGCTATGTAATGTTTCGAATCAAGTCATGCATTATGGATCTACTTTTTTAAGAAGTTCTTTATTTTCATCTCGTAAAATATCCAGTTGTGCTCGACAATCTTGTAGAGCTGCATAAGAAAGAAACAAATAAGATATATTACTTTGAAACGATCGGATATACTTATTTCAAGTTCAAATATTTCTTCTTGTTGTGATTGAATACGTTGTTGTTGTAAATTACTGTAACAAATATATGATGCCGATCTAAAATGTAAGAAAAAACAAAAGAAAAACTATTGACATTGAAGTCCGACCATTTTTCTAGCATTATCATACTCAACATTTGTGACATTTTCGTATTGTTGAATACGTTCATTTAGACATGATATTTCTTGCATTAAATCCAATTTATCGTTTTGAAGTACAACAATCTGAAGATTACATACTAATAATCGAATTATGATTAGATATCAAACCTGTTGATTCAGTTCATGACAATGATTTTCGATTGTATCTTTGACTTTAATTGTACGATTGAGTTCTTCCGAAAGATGTTTCAACTAAAAATCATACGAGAATAGCGAATGATTTCATTACGTTCAATTATTTACTTGATATTCAAGTTCCGGATCTTTCTTCTTGATCGGCAGTTGCTCTTTATCCATTAGCTATTGCATAGAAAGAATATCTAACCATATGTTCAAAATTAAGAATAGCACGTATAAACCTCTTGAATAGCATTCATGAGCGTATGTTGAACAGATTCTTCTAACGACCTAATATATTCTATATAATATCGTTTTCGCTCACTGTTGACAGCACAACTGAGAACAAGTTGTAACAATCGACTGAGTTCTACTTCATCTGCGCTTTCAGCTATAGAAAAAAAAAGAGGCAAGGATTCTTGAATCTATTTCGATTTCTCTGAAGATATTACCGATTATATACACATCGGGCATTTGAAAGTTCACTATTGGCTGACCGAGTACCTAAAATCCCAGGTAATATTCTGGGTAGATTCATGAGAATAAGTTGAAAATCACCTTAAAATAGTAGACGATGATGGTTTTCAAAATTTCCTTCAAATTGTTTGCCTAGATCGATTTATTTATTGGTCTTGATAACTTCATAAGAGTAGAACTTACCTTAATTCGATAGTTATCTTTTTTATCAGTATTGATCTTTTCTAGCCATGCATCATTGAAATAATTGACATCTCTAGCAAATTAATAAATAACAGAAACAAAAATGAATTGATTACTAACATATTTTTGAGTGACATTGCAATAATAACACCATCAGATAGATCATTGGCTCCATTGATCGGTCGATTCAAATCGAATGTTTTCATCTATAATGAAGAGCAGGAAAAAAATCCGATAAAATCATGTTGATTCTATTCTATTGAATAGTATGAATCTACATACCCATTGGATCAGACTATCACATAGAACGTATCGATCCATCTTTTTGACGACGCCAAAAAAAAACAAATTGATCTGAAGATAATTTGAAAAAGTTTCATTCATCTTGTCTGAGAGAATAGACACGTATATTATGTTCGACAAAAAAAAAAGAACGAAGACGTTAATGACTAAATGATGAGTTTTGTTTAGTTTGATCATATTCGTAGAGTCATCTGATATTCATATTACGCCTTCTCGTTCAGCAACACTTAAAAGACAACAATGCATTCTGATCGCTTGCTGAATAACATGCGAAGACTGGTTTGAAACGAGACCATAATATCACTGTTAATTCGAATTGAATCAGAAATCATTTCATTTGAGTTTGGATTGCTTTTACGATTCAAGATAATTGGAAAATTTTCAAATACGAATAGTCAACAAACAAGATCATCCACTGAATACTTGTTCAATTTCTTTCTGAGCACATAAAAAGGTTTCACTCAAGTATATATATTACATTAACATATCGTTCTTTCTGTGAAAAAAGAAATAAGAGTAAGTATGCATGGCAAAAAAAAGTGCATTTGTTTATTCTGTAGCAATACTTTGTACAATAAAAAGAGTACGAATTACACTTATATCGAAGCATAACAAGCGAACTTATCGTGTTCAATCATATTGATTTTATGTTGCACAACATCTATGAAATGCATCAAATGGATAATGATTGTTTTCATGCAAACAATCGTGAAAATACGTTATATTCAATGAAGAACAGAAAGAACAATATGATTATGTTGTTATTCACCTAACTCAAGCTATACTTACACAATGAATTTGACTATATGTCGAGAAGATACAACGAAAATAGGTTTTTTTCTATCTTATCTGACAACATGTGACCAAAGAACAAATATGAAAGATTTCATATAAACAAGATAAAAGCATATGCTTTCGCCGATTTCATACAACTATTTCATATAATATAATTGATACTTCGAAAATGTCCCAAAAAAATCTACTACGTGTATACCTGTACCAGAAAACCAATCGATCAATAGTTACAAAGCTAAGAGTTCATCTTTAGAACTCGTATTTATCTCAATGAGTACTAGAAATTTAGCTGTTAGTGAAGGTAAAAAAATAATCGATTATAAGTTTGATGCCGCCGTACGACGAAGCAAATAGAATCATGAATAATGGTTCATGACTGCAATTGATTGTTGTTGTAGCTAAAGACGATGGCAAAAAGTTTGATATATCGAGCGGAAATGCACAACAAAAATTCACACAATCCTGTGTCATCCTCCAAGCTATTTATGTTTACTTTAAAGCCATCTTTATCAGAGCACTACCATTTGCCTTATTGAGACAAGAACCTTATTAAACAATCATATGAAGAAAAGAAGTCTACATAGCATTTTTATCATCTACGATGAATAATATTAACAATGGCAGTTGTTGAAGAACATTTTTCTGGAAAGATCTTCCAGAAATAAGCCTTCATAACAGTGCAGAATGAACTTGCTTGCTCTGCGATGTGAGTATGGGTGTAGAATTAAGCATTGTTTTGGCCAACAACTCACGCATATCCTTTTTGTCGATATTGTATATAATATGTCGAATACATTCAATATTCTTGANAATATTTTTTGATAAAATTTCATCATTTGGACCCAGCATCACCCTCCATGAGTTTCATCTGGGTCCCACACTCGGAAGTCGAGATTCAGCATACTGAAAAATCCTGGATACGTCACTGATTGATACATGTGACCAAATTAAAAAAAAGAGAATTTTTATGATCTTGTCTTTGAATTGTTAGTAATCATTTTCATTTTTTTTTTTTTATTGGACATAATGTTCTCTATGAAAATCACTATTTCAGGTATTACTCATGTTCAAAACAGCAAAAAGAAAAATTGAAAATAAATATTGGTTGAATAGTTTTATAGCCTCTGTATATACTACATAACTAATCAAAAGATTTGCTTCATACTATATTACATATAACTAACAAAATTGAATCTATGAAATCATATTATTCTTTTTTGTTAGAAAGATAAATTAAAATTAAAATGTTCGCTTCACATATGTTCTGCTGTTTTAGGCTAAATGCACTTATAAATCTTCTCTGGTTTAAATCCTTTATCTGATCTGACTCTGACATCTATTTTTAACTTCATAACGATTTTATTATCCAATAGAAGGATATCTTATCTGAAAAACTTAAAATTTCAAATAAGTCCTCTCTCGAAACGAATGACTCATAAAGAAATATTTTTAATAAACAAATAGAACAAAATTTAAATGATTTGTTCAATTAGAAATTTTATCTACCTTCATAAATAGGTACAGCATGTGTAACGCCATCTCCGGAATCAAGTACAACACCCGTCGTTCTTCCACTTGCATATCTAAATAAAATATTAATTTTAATAAAAATTAGAAAAATTTATTTTAACTTACAAACTAAGTATAGCTTGCATTGAAATAAATAAAGCAGGAACATTAAATGTTTCAAAAAATATTTCTGCTGCTTTTTCACGATTTTTTCTTGGATTTAATGGAGCTTCTGTTAATAAAACTGGATGCTAAAAAAAAATAAAAATAAATTTTTATTTCTAAATAAATTTTTATTTTCTCAAAAAATTTACTTCTTCAGATGCTGATCTTAATTGATCTTTTGAATAAATATATGTCCAAATTTTTTCCATATCATTCCAATCTTGTACAATACCATGTTCCATTGGATGTGCAATATGTAAAAGTCCACGATATTCTTCAGCTTTAGGTCCTATAAATATATCACCTTCTAAACCACCAGCCATAACACGTACATGTTTTGGACGGCCGACATAATTTGGAAAATTTATTTTTGGTATTGGATCACCGGCAAAACCGGCTTTGATCATTCCAGAACCATTATCAATAACAATCGGTTGATTTGTAATCAATACTTCATTATCCATAGTTTCTCTTTTTTTTTTTTTTTCTTGTACTTAAATTTTAATAACAATCAATAAGGATCTATTTCTCTTGTCTTTGTAAGAAATGGAAAAGGGCTCATAAGCAACCAATTAATAGATGGTTGAATATGGATTTTTTTTGATTCGTTGAATAAAATAACCAATGAATAAATTAAACGAAGAAATAACACTTTGTGTGTTGTATTCATTCATTTAATCAATATGACGGATTCGATGTCAGGACAACTAAAACGCTTTGATGCATATGCTAAAACACTTGAAGATTTTCGTATACGTACAACAAGTGGTGGATTTATGACAATAATTAGTTCAATTATTATATTTATATTAATATTTCTTGAATTAAAATATTTTTTAACAACAGATGTTGTGCAAGTTTTATTTGTTGATACAAGTCGACAAGAAAAAATGAATATAACAATTGATATTAAATTTCCTGTTTTACCATGTAGTTATTTAACTGTTGATGCTATGGATGTATCAGGTGATTCACAAACAGATGTAACACATAATTTATATAAAACAAGATTAGATTTAAATGGAAATATTATGGAAAATGATATTGTTAAAGTATCATTAAAACCATTACCTAAATTAAATAATACAAAATTAAATGATAATGATAATAAAGAAACAACAACAATTTCTGCATGTGAATCTTGTTATGGTGCTGAATCATCTGTACATGAATGTTGTCCGACATGTGATGATGTTAAAGCAGCATATAGAGTTAAAGGATGGTCATTTGATGCAAGTAAATAGAATATAGATTTAATTTTTGAATACAATGAAATTAATGATTATACAAGTTTTATTTTGAATGTATATATAGGAAGATTTGAAAAATCATTTTCGTTATCTAGACAAATGTATAATGAAATCTATTGATTTTTATAGAGATTATCTTACATTATTTATATATAGGAAGTAGATCAATGAAAAATTTAATCAGGTTAATAGAATTTCAGATCGTATTGAAGTTTACTTTATTAATCTTTATCAAAAGCCTTATTTTATGAATAGTCGACATACTTCGTAGTACTTAGCAGGACAGCATTATGAAGTATGTTGATTATTCTTAAAAATAAAGCTTTGGATGAAGATTAATGAAATAAATTTCCCGATCGGTCAAAAAAATTCTCAGTCTCTCTCTTTTAATCATGCAAGATTTATATAAAGTTGAAAACTAAAATGTAATTCTGATGAATAGGTTTAAACATCGAAACAAACTATTGTTGTTTAATAAATCTTTTTGAACAGAGGATAAAAGTCCGCCAACTGATTAGTCACTTTATTTTTACTCAATGCTATCGTTCTCCTCAACAACACTAGATAAATTCATTCAAGAATCTAAACTTGAATTTTTCTCATAGACATATACCTTAGGCAGAATAATTTATTGCAAAAGTTTTAAATCTTTTCGTCATTTCTATCAGAAGACGCGGCATTTGGTAAAATTATATTTTGTGCATTGATCAGCGCCGATATTCTTAATGCGGCTTGTGATTGCGCAAATTATCAAGTCGAGATTTGAAAAATAAATTTTTTTTTTTGAAAGATACCGCGGCATTATGCTTAAAAAATACAGTATCTCAGCAATATTACAAACTCTTTTCATAGTATTCATAACTCGAGATGTGCACGATCAAGTTATATTGATTATGATTCTGTTAACTTTTTTCTCACTAGTACCAATCTAGAGAAAACTATTCCAGAATTTATTGGTATCACATCTAAAAACTAATTCTTCAATACTTTTGTTTTTATTAATTTACTTTCGAAATTCTTTATTTTGTTTTGAGTTTATCGAATATATCAGTCTTATCTTGTATTTTATATCATATCTTTATAAAAGAAATAAATAAAAATTCTAATTTAATATATTTAGCTGGTATTCATCAATGTGTTCGTGAAGGAAAAACAGTTGGTATGATTGATTCAAATATTGATGATAGTTCAACACAACTTAATGAAGGTTGCCGATTACATGGTTATTTAGAAGTAAATAAAGTAGCTGGAAATTTTCATATTGCACCTGGTCAATCATTTGAACAACATCATATACATGTTCATTCATTACGAAATATGCGTTTAAATATGCTTAATACAACACATTATATTGATGAATTAACATTCGGTCAACGTTTTCCAAATCAAATAAATCCATTATCAAATACAAAACAAATAGTTAGTTTACATGATAATGGTGCTGTACTTTATCATTATTATGTTAAAATTGTACCATCGGCATATGTTTTTTTAAATCAAACACAATTAATAACAAATCAATATTCAGTTACAAAACATAAAAAAATTATTCGAAATATATTTGATTCATCAGATCATCAAATACCAGGAACATTTTTTACTTATGAAATAAGTGCAATTATGGTTAAATTTGTTGAAAAAAAACGTTCATTATCACATTTTTTAACATCTTTATGTGCAATAATTGTTAGTAAAAATATCTTTTTTTTTTCTTTCGTAGATAATTTACATAATATGTTTTTTTTTGTAGGGTGGTGTTTTTACTGTTTCAAGTTTAATCGATGCTTTTATTTATCGTGGTAGTTGTCTTCTACATAAAAAACTCGATCTAGGCAAAGCAACATAAATCGTATTCGTTTTTTGGAATATTATTTTTATAATGATAAAAAAATTGTCTTCTTTTGTTTTGTTTTTTTTTTGTTTTATTGTCGGTAGAATTTTGTTATTCATCTTTATTGTTAACGAAAAACATCAATTTATTATGTAATAACGACACATCTACAAAAAAAAAAAAAACAAGTTATTAATTTTAGATTAGTATGCGTTTTCGTCAATGGATTTCACCGACATATAAAAACCTATATGATGTATGTTTAAATCAAGCACCATTTTATCATAATGATCCCACAAAAGGTAGGTTTGATGATTTCAAATTAAATCAATCGGAATTTTAAGAAGGACAAATAAAGTGTTATTCAAATACAATGAAATCTTTACTAGTGAATATTTTCTTATTAAGAATGATCTGTGGTTCGATAGAACGATTTTTGCTTGAAATACTTTTCTATAACATAAGAGCTGTGGATCCATAAAAACTTGAGCTTGCAGCTTCCTACTTGCTTGATTTTCGTTTAAATCAATACAAATAAAACTATGTCATATAGCTAAAGATTTTGGTATTAGTGTTGATTTGAGGAAATTTTCTTTATCATTTAGCTATTCAATTTCTTTTTTTCAACTAACGAGGGAACCTTCCCAGGTGCCCCCCTCGGATTTCAATGAATTTCTTCTCATAGATACTACATAGTGCCCTAGTAAAACTTTAAAAGGGTTTCGGTTTCTGCTGCTTCCTTCAAAGGCTATGCCCATTTTACTGAATTTTCGACCCATTCGTATGTATTTATTGCAAAAATCAAATTATCGAGTTTCAACCCAAAATTTTATCCATAGGTAGGCCTAATGATCCTTAGAATAGCCTGAAAGTTTCAGCCAAAAAAGAATGTTTCTTTCTCGAGATATTGAGGTTTCAAAAAATAGTCGCTTGCCACAGATAGGTCACAAAAACCGAGTTCACTTGAAAACTCAATATCTCAAGAAAGGAGCATTCTTTTCAGCTGAAACTTTTAGAATATTCTAAGGGACATTAGGCCTAACTATGGGCGAAATTTCAGGTCGAAATTTGATTTTTGCAATAAATACAAGGGAATGGGTCGAAAATTCAGTAAAATGGTCATAACTTTTGAAGGAAGCAATAGAAACCGAAACCATTTTAGAGCTCTTACTAGGGCACTATGTAGTATCTATGGGCAAAATTTCATTGAAATTCGAGGGAGGCACCTGAAAAAGTTCCCTCGCAAGCGAAAACTTTTAATTTATTAAGCACCAAATAACGGGAAAATGACCAGCAAGAAATAATTATACATTGACTTTTATTTCTGAGACTAGCGAAAATCTTGATCCTTCACCTGTTCATGTACACAAAAGGTACCAGATATTGATGGCAACAAAAAAGTTCGAGTTTGGACCCGCAACCTCCCTAATCACGGATATCCGCAAAAGCTATATGGTGAAATAATGATTAATACCTTAATATTTATTTGTAAAATATCTTATATGTATTACAGTTCAATATACTTTATTTATGAATCCGCTATTGTACGTATGCTGAACATAATAACATCATGATAAGAGCTTAGTCTGCAAGTGAAAAATAAAATTAATATTAGACCACAATCTAAGACTAATTTTGATATCCTAAAAAAAAATTTTTTTTTCATTTTACACCAGAATAAAACACTAATTTTATTCTGTTGTAATAAAATGAAAATCATCAATTTGAATTTTTTTTTTTTCTCGTACGTTTTTCTTTGAATATATTATTTATAAATAGAAATTCGACCTGATCATAATTATTGTCGACCATGGATAGATGATCCAACACTATCAACTGCACTTCCACGAATTCAATTATTTTTTAATTCAACTTCAACGTATGTATTTTTTTTCCAGGTTCTAATTTTTAACATTGAAAAAAAAAAAGAAATTTTCTTTTTTCTAGAAATGATACAATTATTGATATTGATGATAATCAAAAATTGAATAATGAAAATCAAAAAACAATTAATTGGACACCAACAATTAATACAATTATTCCAGAAATATTCGAATGTTTACAACAATCTGATGAAAAACTTACTCAAGAACAAGAAACATTTATTCAAGATATTCGTGAATTAATTAATGAAACACATATTGTTTCATTATGTTGTGAATCAGTATAATTCAATAATTTTATTTAATTACATGAAAAAAAAAAAAAGAAAAATTTTTTTTTTTTATTATTTCTGTTTTAGAATAATTGTAATGTTGTCTATTGGCGTTTATCAATACATCATATTGTTGCAAAACTTTATTCAATTCTTAGTCTTCATTCAAATGTAAATAATCAATTATTAGCATAAAAACAAAACAATGAAGTTTTTGGTTTTTTTTAGTATAAAAATTTACTTGCTTGGCTTCATGAATATGTATGTAAAACATTTGATAGAATATCAATCGGTCATTATGTAGATATATTTCAAATACTTTATGATGAGGTTTGAAAATCTTTAAAATTTTTAAATCAATTTTGTTTTCATCATATCAGATTTAGTATCCTAATATTCGTTCATTATTTATTGGAAAAACTAAATCATATTCAACAACAACAGATCTTTGTTCATATGTTTATAATAAATTACTTCAAAAACCAAATGACCTTACTGAAGAAGTTATTTATAGTCTAAATTTGGTAGTGAAAAAAATAATTGTTTTGTTTTTGAAATATTTTTTTGTTTTTGATATTTAGTCTTCATTACCGATGCCAATTGTTTGTCTTTTAATACCTGGTTTAATATATGAAAGTCATATGGAACGTATTCAATTTTGGCAAAGAAATCTTTCTCAAGTAGCAATTGTTATGCTTTCGACATCTATTGAAAAAGATAATAAATCGGAAGAATTACAAATTCAAACAGCTTATGAAGATATTATTACGAAATTTAATGAAGTAAATTGAAACGAGAGTTTTTTTTTTTATTTATATGCTCTGTTAGAAAGAAAAATTCTATTTTCTTTAAAGTGATATGGTTAGTTTTTCTTAGAAAAAATCCGAATTTTTGGTACTTATTTGCTAAAAAGTCATTGTGGGAATATCAAAAGAATTTTTTTCGTAAACTGTTGGTTTTATAGGTAAATTACTCTGAAGAATTCACGATGAAATTGTAGTAATTAGTTATGCACTGAACACCAACTCTGGCTTGAATTCGGAAACTATCCAAACAGGTTAAATTGCTGAAGCGTTTCTTAAGATATGTGGGCAATCGTGAAAATACCTTAAAGTTCGATTAAGTTTCGGATTCAAGTACTTTTGCATATTGTTGACATTTTTTAGAGTGCCTGAAGACCTTCCACCATTCAATCATTTATATCACTGTGTCGATTTACAATAATCAAGCCTCTAATCCTTCTTTTCGATTTTTTTTAATCAATTAACTGAAAATCCCCGCATTGTAGACAAACATCTTCATACCCTTTCAATATTTACGTCTAGATTTGCCATTATGTTTGAAACACCATTTCCGAATATTCATATCGTTTGTCTTCGTTCCCATCGACTATAGACTGAATAATCTTAGGTTCTAAAAGAACATATGCCATTAGCGCTTTCTTTTTGAGTTATGATCATTTTAGTGGATTTTCAGCTTATCACAGGATATGACAAGAAAAATTGAATCAAGGAATTCTTGTGTAAAAGTTCACTTGCAAATACATCTCATGGTTTTTATAATGTAGTAAAAGTTTCAGCGAAAATAGATTGCTTCTATCTTAATATAACAGAATTGTAAAATTATTGATTTCTATCAACAGATTTGATGCAAGAAACATGAGATATGTTTTCGAGTAAAATTTCAGACAAAAATTCCTAAATTCAGTTTTTCTCATTATATCCTGAAATAAGCTAAAAATTTAAGAAAATAATCATAACTAAAAAAAGAAAGCGCTAATAACACAAAATTGTGAGATCACACGGAGTTTCTCACTTGAAAGACTTTCCCAGTTAGATAGATCTATCGATCATAATCACATGATTCAACTTGAGCAATAGTGAGTGTAATCAAAGTTTTCTAATTCTCCGGCATAAGTGTTTTTTTTTCTATATCACTTTTCAGTCGATAATATTAACCTCTATTTATAACGTATTGACCAATATACATCTACGGCAAAGGATACTATCACTAACTATTCATTAATATATATTACTAGTGTGTATCGACAATCACAATGCCACTAGACGATAGTCTCATGGAGAGAATGCCAGTCAACTTAGGATCGATGATCAGTAGTTTTCTTTAAACATGAATCACTTTGACTTATATTACTCGTTTAATAAACTTTGATATCTATCATGGTTAATAAGCGAGTAGATTCCGATGGGTTCTATAAACGAATGTAAAAAATTAAAGGACAAGAAAAACACATTTGCATAGAGTTGAATTTGTAAAGATTTGTTTACTAGAAATACATTCTTGAATTTTTAATGAATAATTTCTAATTTTAAGATTCGTCAACTCTATCCAAATCATCATATAATGTTTCTTGGTTGGAATGTCGGTTGTATTCTTGCACTTAAAGCTGCACTTGTTTGTTCTGTTTCATCTGTCATTTGTATGTCTCCACCATTCGACGCTTTATCTGAAGAAACAAAAGTAAAAATATAAATTTTATACAAAGAAAAAAAAAAAAAACAGATAACTAAACTTGTTAATCCTATCAATAGAATGATTTTACTCAAATAAATGCATCTATTTTATTTATAACCGGTGAAAAACAATATACAAATCAAATCGATCATTATCGTCAACGACTTAAATCTCGTAATGGTTTAATTGAATTAGGTCAATGTGATGATAAATTATATATGTCGGAAAATGGAAAATATTGTTTTCGTTTAACACAACAATTAATTGATAAATTAATCATGGTATTTTTACCTGTATAAAGCATTAATCTTTAGGAAAAAAAAAAAGTTTTTTTTTTTCTGTTTAGGAAGAAATTCTTGATTTTATTATAATAATATCACCAAGATCAAATCGAACACCATTTGAAGAAGTTGACGATGAAAATAAAAAGAAAAAAACTGAACATATTCCTTCTACTACATTATCATACATAGAAGATTCAGGTAAATAAAACACAATCGATTAAAATAATATAAGGTAGAAAGTCTAGAAGCGCATAGGAACATATTTCGGCTCCTATTATTTTTCAAAATTTTTGTCTGACTGGGAATTGTTGATTATTTATTCTATTAATGAAATGTTCTCCAAAATTTGTTCACATCTGGTTTGATAGAACTTTTCAAACACTATAAAACTAGCTCTTGTGTAGGATCATAAGCTACTAGAAGACAAAAATTCGCATGACTAAATTATACAAAAAGTGTTTGGATCGAATTCCTTTTTCGATTGATCCCTGAGCAAGACCAGAGATGAATATTCGATCAAAAAAGAAAGAGTTTTGAAAGACACATAAATCACTGTTTTATATTGATTCCCAATATGATGTTTGTTTAAAGTAAAATTAGTATAATTCTGCTTGGAAACTGTCCAATGTATATCGAAAAATAGAGTTTCACGAATGGTACACGAAAGGCTTTGTTAAGTGATTCACTCTTATAGACCGTATAAATGAATGATTTTATTATAAAAATATGTTCAGAACAAAGGACTATTAGAATAATTTCGAACTTTTTTTCACCGTTAGTTTTTTTTTTCTCCCAAACTAATGTGAAGATTAAGAGTTAGTATTAATAACTAGCTGCCCAATTAGTATATCGTGACGATAGACTCTATTCACAATTATAAAATTAAAACAATCAAGAACTCATGATCTTTTATTCTGTATATGAATCAATTCGATTGAATCTTGGAAAACAAAAGAAATTGAAAATGCGTTCTTATGCACCCCTCTATTCTGTGCATCCTAGCTGCAGATCATGATAGATATTGCCACGGAAACACTACAGATCGTGTGACATTTCATAAGTTTAATCCCGGAAGAGTTTGTACTAAGAAATTTTTATTTAGAAGAACCTTTTCTTTATACGGGTTTAAATTCTAATGATAATACATCAACAACTTTAACAATTCCACCTGAACAAGATCCAAATTCAATTTTTTTGAATACTATTCTTCCATCATCAACATCAACACGAAAACGTAAAGGTTCAACTTTAATAAATTTATTGGAAAATGATCGTAAAAAAACAACTGATTCATTAAATTCAACTAGTACAACAAAACGAGGACGTCATCGAACAAAAAATTTACCACCAACCGATGATATGGAATGGGCACCTGATAAAGATAAACGTCCTATTAAATCAACTAATAAAAAACAAAATAAACAAACAATGCCACCAACATCAACAACAAGTATACTTAATACATTATTACAATTACCATCAAATCAACCAAAACAACGAACAAATGAAATAAATCTAATAAAAACTATTCATCAACCACCGTCATTTGTAAATACTGTACTTTCATCAAATCCTTTTCATTAGAACAAAAATAAAGATTAGCGTTTATTTGTATATATCTTATATAAATATTCTTGTATATAAATATATATATATATATGTATGTGATTTGGTTTAGTTTTCAGATGACACGTCATTCAAAAAATTCAACAGCTAATGCTGTTTATACATATCATGAAAAACACAAAGATTCATCAACAGGTGGTTATGGTACAACACAAATGCGTCTTAGTAAAGATGCTATTAAAGAATTTGATTGTTGTAATTTAACATTACAACCATGTATAGATCCAGTTATAACCAAAGATGGATATTTATTTGATAAACAAGCTATACTTGGTAAGAAATTTCTATGAGTACTTCATTTATTATTCTATTTTCATTAACACAAATGATCTAATGAATATTAAGATCCTTTGTAAGAGGTGCTAGGACAATGGTTCGCCTGAGTAAGGGTATACAAACGATCTTTAAGGGGACCCCCCCCCCTTTCCGGCGTTTCTGAGAAACGGCCGAACGAAAATTCCTGAAACTTGCAGGGTAGATAGACCTCGAGTAGTAGAGCAAAAGTTGTTGTAGACACAAATTTTCCAGACATCATCTTCATGGACTTCCAGAGANCCGATCCAGACCGAGCCAAGATTATCCGGTTCGAGTTCGGTTTGGTTCGGTAGAGTTTTCAAAAAGTCTTTTCGGGTTCTATTGAGTTTTCAAAAAGTCGGTTCGGGTTCGGTTCGGTTCGACTCGAACCGAACCGAACCGAACTAGTTCGACTCAGTTCGGTTCGTTTTCGGTCTCTGCACCGAACATTCCTAGCGCATTATCCAATTACCTTGTGAGAAACAAAATTTAATAAATGTTTTAGTTTGAAACAAGAACTTAGATAAAGCTCCGTCACATTATAATTTGTTCTCGGGATGTTACTATGTCTATAATAAAAGGAATTTTGTCAGTCCAGATGAATGAAGTACAGCCGGAAAATGATAGAAATGAGGAAATAGAAATCCAGTGTTCAGAGTTTTCCAGCTGAGAATCTACGAATCTGGGCGCGGGAATCATTGGCCCTATGAAGATTAATCCATATTAATAGTAGTTGAGAAATGCATAGTAACATTAAAAAGGCATAAGGAGATTTTAGTAAGCTAAAAATAGTTACCAAAAAGTATACATTTCTCTGATAAACGCAAGATATGAACTAAACTAATATTCAATGTAAAAAAAAAGAACTATTAGTCAAATGTTTATTATTAAGTACTAAAGTTTGCTTGAAATAGATAGTTAACTAGTAATGAGAGAACTTTTGAAGACATTTCTACAAACTTAAATTCTTTTTTTCGAAGAAATAATATTAATTTTTTTTTTTATTTCTGTCTCTTTGTCGTAACAGTATCTTGGAATATAATAGATTTTAACTTTTGTTTTACATGTTGCAACTATTAAAATTAGAAGAAGCATTCATTATTTCTCAACTAATATTTTTTTCATTTATTTTGCATTCAATTAAAGGTTTTGTCTAAAAAGCTTTTGTTCTATTAGCATAAATTTCTCGAATATTATTTGTATTGATCAATTTTTACTTCCTGGAAATTATTGCTTTGAAAGATTTCATATTTTAATTCTGCTGAGATTTATTATTTTATATATAACTACAAAAATTCGTTTATCATGAAATTTTACATTATCGTCAGATGCCAATTGAACTCATAGAAATTATCATTTTGATTCTATATAAATTTCATTAAATTAAAATAGTCTCTATTAAGAAAAAGATATTATAAATATTACGAAATAAAAAGAATTGATATTTATATTATTCTTATCAATATATCATCGAAGGAATTTTTTTTTTTTTTCTAATTTAGAATATATAATTCATCAAAAAAAACTTAATGCTCGTAAAATGCGTGAATATCAAAAACAACTTGAACGTAAACAACAAGAAATTGATGAACAAAATGCTAATGATCATCAAAAAAAGTTAAATAAATTTTTAGAAAAAGAAGCAACATATTCTGTTAATCAGTCAGTTAAAACTCTTCTCTCATCTAAACATCGAGATCAACCATTATCATTATTTCTTACATCACCATCAATAATATCAAAATCATCACTTCTTACGACACCATCAGCAGCAACACCAAAATCATCAGCATCAACACGAATATCAACAAATGATGATAATGATGATGAAACACCAGCATCATCATCATCGTCAAATTTAAGTAATATGGTAGGAAATCAAGCTACACAATTACCTAGTTTTTGGATTCCATCATTAACACCAGCAGCAAAAAAAGCTGAATTAAAGAAACCAGATCAACATGTTTATTGTCCTATATCAGGCAAACCGATAACTATGAAAGATGTAATTGATGTTAAATTTAAATTAGCTAATGATGTTGATCCAAAAAAACGACCATTAGTAGCTGTACGTGATCGATATGTTTGTGCTGTTACTGGTGATTTACTAGGTAATTCTGTACCTTGTGCAGTTTTACGAACATCAGGCTTTGTTGTTACAATGGATTGTGTTAATCGATTAATTAAATTAGATATGACTGATCCTATAACAGGTGCCAAATTAACGGATGATGATATTATTCCAATGCAACGTGGTGGCACTGGTAAGAAATGTTTTCAAAGGAAAATAGATTCACTTTCGTTTTCTTTAAGGATATTCGGGATCAGGTGTACAATTAGACGCAAAGTTACCAACACCTGCTATGCAGTAATTATTGTTTTTATTGTATACATGAACTTATGTATTTGTCGTGTTTTTTTTCTTCAATAAATATGAGCGGAATGAATGTGATAATTGTTTTTTTGTGCAGAGGAAAACTTTGCAAGTGTCGTATGATATTTTCAAATGAATGTAACCAGTGGGTTCTAAAGAATGGTTTCATTTATATTTACCTCGCTCTTAATGGAAATAAATAAATCTTTTTGTTAGCAACGAAATGACAAAAATGTTTGCCTCTAAGTGAAGAAAACGACTGAGTCACTTGTTTTTGTACTAGAAATCAGTAGATGTTAGAACAGGAAAGTATTACTCGATATTCTCTGTAAATAAAAAAATAGCTAGATCAACGTTTGCTAGATGGCTTTGTAAAAATTGAACGAGAAATCTTGTGATACTAAGCGCATTTTTCTGCAATAGGTACAGGCAGAACCTGCATTCTGGTTTTGCGTTCCGGTTTAGATTCGACAATCATCCAACTAGTTCAAACCGTGCCAGATATCAGGGTAATTACTCAAGCATTTCTTGAGATATGTGGTAAATTCAGTTCGAGTATTTCTCAAGGTTATTGACTTTCTTAAGGATATGGGTGAAGGACACTTCGTCTCACCTCATTCCGGACATGCGTCCGGATGTTCGGAAATGAATTTTTCCTTGACTGGCGTTCGTAAACATACCAGATGACCGGAATAACATTGACCGGCACTTCGTAAAATAAGATTCACTGGAAGATCGTAACGGATATAAAGACTTTTATTTCTGTTTTTCTATAGAAGAAAAGCATTCATTTACTTACGTTAGCACATTCATAATTATATCAGGAGACATTTTTCTGTATCTATCGCTGTTCTGTAAAACTGTAAGACAAATGTGTCCCTTCATATTCTCTCAAAGTTGAGTAAACTTAAATATGGTTACGAACATCCTACCATTTTCCTTCCAATCATCCTGTAGTTTCCATTACGACCTTCATGTATTTGTCATTACGAACTTCCGGACTGTTTCATTTCGATCTCCAGTCAAATTTTCGCTGTTCAACCACTAAGAAACAGTTGTCAGAGCTCGTTACGAACATCATGTATTTTCCTCATATTTCATTAACTTTTGCCATTCCGAAGACCCTGTCTTTTTTCTTAAGTTCGAAGATCGTAACGGACTACTTCAACCGGAGTTCGTAATAAACAGATGAGACGAAGTATTCATTTCCCAAGGATATCTACAGTCCTTCGGTTTTTTTTTAATCATTTATTCTACTATATGAAGAGCTACTATAGCCAAGCCTGAAATTCTCTCTTTTGGCTTATTTCTACTTCCTTTTATTAATTGACAGAACATGATCGTATTCAATACCATACATTCGAAACGTTCGGGTTCGGTGCATTTCTTTTCTACAATGAAACATAAACGAATGGTGCCGTACTATATACTACACCTGTTCTATTAAATTAAACTAAAAGAATGCCGCAGGACATAATTTACATAGTTTTTTTTTTTTGAATAATGACTGTTCTAGTAAGTTTACGAATTGTAATATAGAATTGAATAAAACTTAACTTCTTCATAAAATAACAGAGACATTAAATATTATATTATTTTTTTTATGAAATAAAAAAAATACGTATATGAACACCATCTATCATGAATTTCATATAGAAACAAAATAACTAGCGACATGCGGTTTTTATTTATTAATTCGTATTATTTTTATTAGTGACCTCTTTTTTTTTCTATGACACGCATACTTTGTCTATCCGATTGGTTTTCATTCGAAACACACACGTGTACGTGTTCTCACGTCCATATTTTAATAACGCTCTCCCATTTATTCGATCTGTGTCTTTGCAATCTTTCAAGTCATTTATTTATTTCTTTTAACTGATCATGCCAGCTTCACCTAGTGGAACAAGCGTATGTATTTCGTTTAGAAATTTCTTTTTTGTTTTTTGATATCTATATTATAAACGAGACTCTTTTTTATAGGTTGGTAAAGGCGATTCAGCTAAAGCTTCAGGACCACGAACAACAGGTGGTGGTGCCGGTCTTCGTCAACGTAAATCAACAGCACCTGCTCGTAGTAGACCAGGTGCTGGTGGTGGTGCAAGTGCTGGTGTTTGGCGTTTTTATACAGAAGATTCACCAGGTCTTAAAGTTGGTCCTGTACCTGTACTTGTCATGAGTTTAATTTTTATTGCAAGTGTATTTATGTTGCATATTTGGGGTAAATATACAAAATAATCGTGCAATATATATATATAGGAACATCCGGAATGATGAATAGACGTTTGTTATTGTTGTTTTTATCTTATGTTAACACATCTTTCTTTTTTTTTTGTCGTAAAGAAAAAAATATATATTGCGATACATATGAACGATCTTATTAATTGTCTTAAGATCATTTGTTTTGTTTTTTTCTTATTAAATGTAACAAAAACAAAAAACAGAATTCATTTGTACAGAAAAAGAAATTTCATCACATATTACAATTTGAATACAAAAAGTTGAAATTAGTCTTTTGTTTTTAGACAAAAAAAATAAATGATAATGAATAATTTCATTTTTTACTATATATATTGCATAAATCTATAATATACTTCGTATGAATGTACCATTGGTTATCTAAGATAAAGCTTAATATTACAGTGTATTCTAAAAGTTTGTTTGTTCCATTTCAATATTGACTGAACTTCATTGTCGGGTGTATTTTTTTGAATAATAGAAAAATGCTCAGAGTTTATATTTCTAAAGACAAACTTTAAAAGCATTGCGGAAAAAGTTAAGACATTTAGCCAATTTTCTCTTTCCGAAAATATTCATGGATTATATGTGTTTTTAATTGCTTGAGTATTGATTTGCTACTATTCATTTTCTTTTTGTAAACATATATAAAAAAAAACAAAATCTGTAAAAGGATCGTTCCAGTATTGAACAATTTAAAGATTCGAATCATTCAATAACTTTGAAGTTATTAAAAAAAAGAAATGCTTTGCAATGCTTTTCTAGAAAAAGAAAACAGACTAAATTTTTATATTTTAACTAAAGGTCCTAAGTTTCAACAATATTTTTGAAGTTTGTCATTAAAAATAAAAACTATTTATTTATTCATTATCCAAAAAACAAAACTGGTCAATGAAGTCTAATCAATAGTGAAATGGAACGAAAAAACTTTTAGGACACACTGTAAAAAAAAGCATATTTCATTATATAAGTGAAGTATCTTTAATATTTTCTATGCTTGTTGTATCTATTGCTATTTCTTCAAAACCTCGTGCATACAACAATTTAGAATATTTTTGTGATGTTGTATTCTGATTTTGATGATGTATTAATTCAAATTGATAAATTTGCAAATGCTTTATTTCTTCAATTGTCGCCATTTTAGAAATTTGTTCTTAGAAAAGACATGTAAGAATAGATAATAATTTATTATTTTCTTTTGATAGATCTAAAAATAAAAATATACGAATAGTTATAATGTGACAAAGAATGGGAAAAAAAAAAGTTAAAATTTTCACTATGAAAATGTTTTACTGATAATGTGAATGAAGACTTAATAAGAATGAACAACAATACGTAAATAAATGTTGAAGAATTATAGAAAAAGAAATGGGAGAAAAGGTAAGAGAAATTAATGTATAATGCAAGTGTTTAAATAGAGTGAATACTCTATTTCATATGAATGATAGTATGAAACAGAATTTGAAAGGAACCAAAATATTTTGTTAAAGGAAATAATATATTACGTTAGATATATAGTATTAAAGGATACTGGGATGGGCTTGTCATAAATTCTGGGAGGAGGGAGACCTTCAGGAACCCACAAGATGAGTCAACGTATTCTACAAAATTTTCTTTTCCCATGCCGAAATGATGGAATTTATTATGGTAACTAATTTACACTAAGTACGCATAGATAAGAACATTGTCTATGCTTTTATCTTTTATACAATGATATTCTAAACGAGGAATATATTCTTCTCACATTATTTTTAAATCTTTTATGGTGTAATGCTTTGTTTTTCACTTTCTAGTTCCTTTATAATTTATTCTAAAAATAAATAATATTAATCGTGTATATTTTTTTTCTTCTTTTGAATAGATTATTATTCATTAAATAAAAACTATACAATAAGTTGTTATATAGTTGATTAGTTCTTTTATTTTATTTGTTTTCTAGAATATTTAATTATTTATTGTAAATAAATATTATATTTATATCGCTCTCTATATATGTATATCATACGGCTACATCAATTAAATACATGTCTGTTTTATTATAACATTCATCAGAAATTATTTGTTGATGATTTTCAAGTTCAATTGAATCAGAAATTGGTTGTTTTTGTTTATTTTCATTTTGCAAAGATGAATTCGATTGAATTATACTTTTAACTGATCGATATTTTTTTGGTTCACATTCATATACTTCAGAAAATAAATGAATTAATCTCTGAAAACGTCGATCTTTTGATGCACTTGAAGGTTTTTCCGGTAATAAAGAATCATAACTCTGATCATCATTATCATCATCATCTAGATCACCAAATATATCATGAACAGTTAATGGTACTAGAGTATTTGAACGAACATGATTTTGTTTTGTTGAATTAAGGTGATTATTCTTTGGTTGAGCTAAATGATATGTTCGTTCAGATGATTTTTGTTGTCGATTATAAAATTTCGTTGAATTAAGTTGTGGCATTTTATTTTGTTTTATTGATTGTTCTCGTGAAAATGTTAATTCAGATTTCGTATTTGAATATGATGTAAATGATTGAAATGATGAACTTATGAATTGTTCATTTTTATTTGATATACGTTTCGATGCTGTTTCTTTAGGTATATCATTTATTAATGGTTCAATATATCTAAAAATATTTAATAAATTGAAAATAAAATAATAAATGTTTTACATACGGTAAAAGACCAGGCATTATTGTTTCTGCTTTTGTTCGTTGATTTTTAAGAAATTTATTTTTTTCAAAATCACATCGAGTAATTTTACGCTGACGTTCATTTGATAAATTAAGCATATTAGAAAAAAACTTTCGACTTAGCATTACATTTTGTCGGGTATCAGCTGACATCAAACCTAAATTAGGTGTAAATTTTCTTACTTTAACATCTTTGTCTATCCAATTAGATATTGTCGTAGGTAATTGTTGTCGTTTCGAATACATATTTTTTTGTACGAATGAATAGATTTTAAAATGTTTTATGCACAATAAAACATTCTTATAATCCTATGCAGATGAAAGAAAAGCAAGCAAAAGAAAAACACTTGTCAAGGATACTTATGTTACTTTTACTAATAACAGGTCAAGTATCACACGAACAACAAATTTGCGAAGTATACTTTTATGCTTACCTATTTTTATATTTTGTAACTGTGCTGAGCAGAAAAAATAGTGTTTGTTTTTTAGCTTGTGTTTTTGAAGATGAAAAAGCCAAAAATCTTTTTCTTTTTCGCGTGCTACTTTACAAAATGTTCTTTTGTAGACAATGAATCATGCATCTGAAATACAATGTTTACACTGAAAAAAAAATAATTAAACTAGATAGAGATTAATGACAAAAATCATGGTTGGATCGTCAACAGCTATTTACTATGAAATACATCAAAGAACAGTTATTGAATACGATGACATATGTTCAAACACGAACAATGTAAACGACTTTAGTATATGATTACATATAACCATAGATAAAATCTAAGTTCAGGGGCACTTATCAAGCATGTATCTTTTACATTTTAAATTCAGCAACTAATACAATGGGAAGTATTTCTTTTTAAATAAATAATTCTTATTATTGTCTAACTAAGCTAAAACCGAACAACATACTGTGTAGTAAATCTTATTTTTTCAAATACAAGAAAATATTATTTCGTGTGTTTAAGTAAGATGGGGAGGAGTTCTTTCTCTTAAGTGAGAAGAAGCATAGGTGAATAAGATTGCTGTAATGTTTGTTTTGGATGTAAGCTAAATTTCACTTAATACAGCAAGATTCTTCTCTTGATTTTCTTGCAACTAATGTGTAGCTTTTGCTGCAGATGAATAAACAAGTTCTCTTTTGTTGTTGTTTTATTTCTAATTCAAGCTGTTAAACAAAATATAAAAATAGATTTATTTTCATACAATTTACATGAAATACAAAAAGAAACACAAAGAGAACATTTTCAATAATAAACGGAAAACAAGATAAGAGAAAAATATTCTATTTATATGATAATACTTATTAATTATTATAAATCGCATTCATCATTTGCAGATGATTATTATCTGTTTGCTGTTGTGATAATATTGCTTTTCTTACAAAACACTTTCTAAAACTAGATTCAATTCAATTCTCTCATATATCAATAGATTGACCTTTTCTATTCAATATCTTCACTTGCTTTATATTTACATACAACTGATACATTTTGTAAATAAGACATTTTTCTTGGAATCATAATTACAATTAAGCTTAGTTTTTCGGAGGTTCATGAAGATATATGATATGAAAACGAGTCGTAACATGACAACATTTACAATATTATATTTGTATCATATACTGCATTCTCATTGAACACTGTTCTAGCTTTCGATTAAATACGCTGTGTAAAGAGACTGTATGGCTATATGCGTCCTTTATTGTTAGTTAACTTGAACGCAATGACCCATTAACTGTCGTCGCATACAATGAATATATCGCATTCATACGTTCATATATATTCACTCATATTTATAGATATTAAGTGACAGTTGCCTTGAGGATCAAACAAGAATCTTATGTGAACTTGCTAAGAGAAAAAGTATTATGTCTAATCAATTAAGAAAGTCAAGAATATGGCATGAATAGGTTCTAGAATTTCGAATAGTGTGAAATATTCACTTTTCGTTTGTTTTTATACGTTTTATATTCTTTTATCATTTATTTCAAAATATCATTAATTGATTATTAAAGAATTCGACACTGACATCTTGTTAATTAAAAGTACTTTATATGAATACTCTTTAGAAAGAAAATGAAGAATGAAAAGTGATAAAAATTATGCAAAAGATCAATCAAGGTTGAACATTTACCCTGAACATGAGAATAAAGGCTTATATGCAATACAAGGTCTTTTTTTATATTGAAGTATATCGTTGTCATATATTATCAAAAAAGATGAGGACAAGTTTAAATCACTTAAATTAATCTAACAAAAAGAAAAACTAAAAACTTTCAATAGTCTTTTTTAAGAATTATTTTAAATACAATGTTTTAAATACCAACTTTTCTTCTTTTTCTATCGAGCTATGTTTTATCTTATCATTCTCTATTGTGACCTAACTGATAAGGTAGCATCTATTAAGGACAATTATTGAATATGAATTAAACAGAAAGTGAAGAGAATAACTTCAAGTTTTTTTAAAGAAATATCGCAATATGAGTTTTCAAAAAATAAATTCAAATTAATCTATAAGATGAAATAGTTTTGAACTGAGATCATTCTTATCAAACTACAGTTTATTTTTAACTCCGGAATTATTAACAATTATGTAAAAGCGACATCTTACAAATTAGATTCAATGCTCATTACAAATTAGTTATCTTTGAATATCTTGCCTACAAACATCATCATTTCCATTTTTATATTCTTTAGTCTTACTAAGACATTTACTTTCGTATTCATTCGTTGTTATTATCTATACTTATTACACAACATACATATAGACACATTAAGTCTCTATTGAAGTAAATAAATGTAAATTTCATAAACGTAAAATGAGTTTTTTTTTTTTTTTCTTTTTTTCGAATGATGTCAGATTTACAAAAGAATAAAAAACAACTCTCGAATTTTAGATAATAGTGATGTCTGTACTAGATTCACTAATACCAAGAAGACTGAATAATTCTGATGAATTAATATCAAGACTAGAATCCTTACCATCATATGAAAATCCATTACAAAATTCTGATGAATTTGCTCTTTTTGATGATGAACAAGAACCATCATCAGGTTTAATTAATTTGATTCGACGAAATTCTCAATCCGAACAAACAACAATAAATTCTTCAAATACCGTATGAATAATTCTAAAATTCTTTTGAAATTACATCGTTTATTTTCCTCAGTCATATCTAGATAGGTACTGATGATTCAATAAATTCATATTCAATTGATGATGATATAATGACAAATGAAACTGAATCAACTCAAACAACTGCAAGTAATAGTGTCGATGAACATTCTAATCAAGATAATGATGATGAATCACATATAAATATACTTAAAAGTCGAGTTAAACATTTATTTATTATGAGTGAAAATGGTAAACCTGTTTTTACAAGGTAAATTCTTAAATGATAAATTATTTCGAAATTCTTATTTGAATTTATTAGGTATGGTGATGAGGATCAATTAGTTACATTCATGGGTGTTATGCAAACACTTGTTTCATTTGCTGAATTAGCAGAATCTAGTCAATTAAATTATTTAAAAGCTGGTCGTTCTCGTATAGCATTTTTACATAAAGAACCATTTGTATTCGTTTTAGTAACACATACATATGAACACTCAATGTGTCTTTTTCAACAATTAACATATGTATATAACCAAATAATAAGTACATTAACATTGAGTCGTATAAAACAAAAATTTAAGCTACAACCTAATTTTGATTTACGTCGTTGGTTATCGAATGCTGAAAAAAAATTATTACATAATATTATTGATATGTATGAACATGATTTAGGTATGCTTATGACATCGGCTAAATGCTTAATTTTACCAACAAATATACGAAATCAAATCGGACAAATAGTTGCACAAACAATACGAGGACAAAAAGTAAGAATTTTGAAATAATAAGACAAAACAAAAAAATTTATCATGTTTTTAAAACAACAAAATACTTTTTTTTAGGATATGATATTTGCTGTGATACTTATTCATGGTCATCTTGTTTCAATAGCACGTCTAAGAAATTATCATTTACATCCATCAGATCTTCATTTACTTATTAATCTTGTTAGTAGTTCAGATGCATTTAAAGGTGTTGAATCATGGGTACCTGTATGTTTACCACGATTTGATCCAGGGTTTGTATAATCAAATAAACACTTTCGAAAATAATTAAAGAATAATATTTATTCGTTTTATTTTAGAGCTTGTTTTCATGCACATATATCATATTTAGATGATAGTTGTGATGTATGTCTAGTTTTATTAACAGTAAATCCTGAACATTTTCAAATACTTTCTGATTTCAAACAAATTATAAATGAAGTAAAAATTTTGATTTTAATTTTAAATATAAAATTTTTTTTTTTTTTTATATTAGAAATTAAGAAAAATAAATTTAATTACACAAATAAAATTTGCTTTAGAAAAAGATCGTCTTTTATCTGACGAAATCGCTTGTAATGACTTGCGATATTTTGCATATAAATCACGTGGTTTAAGTCAATATATAGCTTCAAAATTATCAAAACCTTATACAACGAATGAACAGCATGTTAGATTATTTGAATTGATTCGTTACGTTTATGGACGTCTTCATAATCCGAATCATCAATTAAAAATTGTTTATTTTAAAACTGAAAATGAGTCCTTACTTGGATGGGTTGGTAGAAAAAAGAGCTTAATAAATTTCGCTATTAACTAATCTATATTTATTTTAGTTGGCACCAGGTTTTGAATTACATGTGGTATTTTCACCATTTGTTACAATGGAAACTGTCATTTTATGTGCTGATCGTATATTATCATATATAAAACGTGAAGAAAGTCAATTATTTATAATAAGATGCGAATATTTTTAATAAAACTAATCAGTTCAGATGAGTATTTATTAATATTATAGACACTTGATTTTTTATAATTCTTTCTTTTTTTTTTCTGTAATAAATCATTTGTATGAAATGATATTTTTTCTTTTCTTTTCTTTGATTGTCTTTTGTATATGCGTGCATAAGCTATTTGATGATAATACAGACAATGAAATTCTATTATGATTATAAAAAAAAAAAGAAGAATGATTGATCAACCGTATCGGCTTTCAAAGGTATTGTATGAATGCAATAAATTGTTTGCATGATATATCGTTCAATATTGAAACTTATGAAGGCGTCAAATAAACGATAAATGTTGACACTTTGTTCGCGAGGGATGTCACACCTTATCATAATGAAAAATTATTTTTCCTAGCCGACAACTTGCGTTCGCTTAGAAAAAAAGTGTTTACGACCTCCAAAAAAAAAAATCATCGCGACACTTGGTAATGTTGGTTGCCTTGGACCAACTCTATTGACGTTTTACATGCATATCAAATGATATCTGTCTATATTATCTAGACTGTCTAATAGGCCACAGCAATTGTTTAAGTAAAAAAGTTGTAAACAAGTACTTGAGAAATTCTTTGTTTTTTTTCCCTATTGAAGTTTTTTCGTATTTGGTGTATTTCATTTTAGTGAAACGATCTATTGAACCGTTAGATGATTTATGTATTGATAAGCTTATGATGTAATTATATGTGTATGCATTAAGGACATTAAATAAACGGTTTGGTTTACAAAGGTTTTTTTTTTTTTTTTTTTTGAGTAAATGTCAGTGTGCGTGTATAGTCATTGACAAAAATGAATTGAGTAGTTCTATTCAAATTAGTATTCTTAATGAAAATTGCTTAAATATTGTTAACAATCATATTCAATCGATATAATTCGTAATATCAGATGTATATTTTCTAGTAGATAAAATAATAAGATTTATTTTCATCTATATTTTGATTTTTAACAATTCAAGAAAATCCTTCTTTTCAATATATAAAATTCCTTGATCGATAGTATTTTGTTGTCCTTTCTTTACATCACCATTAATCAATCAATTGATATTAAATATTCACCGTTCGAGAAAAAAAAGGGTTGACTATCTATTCTAATGGTTCTTTAATTGATTAAAAATGGATATCGTCACAATAATGAGTGTCCTCATGTTGTCCTTCAATTATCAATCAGATGTATGTGTACATATTGAAGCTCAGTCAAGCAACCTCTTCTTTTCTCTCGACTTTTTTTTTTTTTGATTACAAGACGCGACATAGTTGCTATGTAAAAGAAGAAAAATGAAGCGAAAAAAAAATGAGGCAGACACGATTCAACTACGTTTACATGCGTTGTTGCGATACGGTTCAACTATCTTCATTTACTTAAAACGAGGGCCGTTCTTTTAACATTATCATCATTCGACAGAAAAAAAAAGGCGAAAAGAGGACTACGTTGAAACATTTCTTATATATCTAACCTATTAATCATGCAACAAGTCTCACCAGCAGTCGTTCAAAATTGGTATCCACCTGTTTATCATCAATATCCAACAGTTCCAATGGGAAGTCCTCAATCACTGAAATCAATTGACACAACAGTATTTGGACCAAGTGTTCCACCAGTAAAAAATTCGAAATTAACAAATAATCATCTTCATCACAATCGTCATAATCAATCAAATGATGTTGATTTACGTCGTTTAATTTTATTTAATTTACCCATTGATCTTGTTCAAGAATATCTCGAACTTTACTTAGAGTATTTATCTGGTGAAACTGAAATTGAAAGAATTGATTATTCAAATCTTGAAGATTCAACTGTTATGGTTACTTTTAAAACAGATCTTAGTTAGTATAAAAATGAAAACAAAACAAAAAAAAATGTTTTATTTTCTTCCATTAAGATATGTATGAAGTACGTCGTCGTCATGCTACACGAACAAAATTAAATGATTCTGAAATTTCATTAGCTGAAGTAACATCACCAACAACTGTTATGATAAGAAATTTACCATTGGATATATCACGTGATGTACTTGAATTATACTTTTCAAATCGACGTCGTAGTGATGGTGGACAAGTTGTTGATGTAGCATTTGATAATGAACATCAACATGCACTTGTTACATTTGCTGATTATAAAGGTTGAAAATCAAAACAAAAAAAAAAAATTCTCTCATAATTATTTGGTTGTTTTTATTGATAAGTTTCTTTTTATTTAAAATAATTTAGATGTTTGTCGAGTTATAAAACGTGAACATTTGATACATGGTCAACGTCTTGATGTAAGAATTTATTATCCTCATATGGGTGTTGAACCATTTATTGATGCATCACATGTTGGAAAAAAACCTGATCCAATATGTTATCGTGCATCAGATGATAGTCGTTATGCATTTCTACTTAAAAATCGTCCATTACTTGATGAACTTCGTGAACAATTGAAACTGCATCATACTCATGTTAGTTTACAAACAGAAGGTATTATAGAAATTAGTTATACTGAATCACGTATAACAGTAAAACTTCGTTTAAAATGGACAAAAGATATTGAAAAATTAGTTGACAAATTTCTAAATGAACGTCTTGCTGTACATAAAGTACCATGGAATAATAATAAAATACCATCGATTACATCAGAACAACTTGCTGATCTTTCCTTAAAAGATAATACACGTCTTATGCAATTAGCACCATCGGATAGTCAACAAGATCATATTGTTGTAACAGCTTTAAAAGATCATTTAGATCGTGCTTTAAGTGAACTTACTGATATGCTTACAACACGTACAACAACTACAAATCATATACCTTTAACCGATGCTATCTATCGTAGTAAACCAGTAAGTGCAACACGTGATCCCAAAGTAAATAATCATCGATCATCATTATTACTTCGATCATCTTCACCGTCAAAACAAAGTTTTAATAATATTGAATTAACTCCACCACCAGCATTGTTACAACCATCAATGGCAATTATTGATGATAGTCTTGAGAATTTACGTTTATATCAAATCGATCTACTTTCAATGCGTTTTATTGATTTATCACGACGTACTTATATGAATTTAACTATTGATATTGATCGTACAGGACGACGTATTATTTTTCGTGGTCCACTTGATCAAGTAAATCTTTGTAAACATTATTTTGAATCAATACTCAATGGAATCGTTCATAAACATTATAAAATTGGAAAAGAAATGGCTGTTTTTCTATCAAATCCTGATACAGGTAATAAAAAACAAGCGCATTATTTCAATGATAAAATAATTTCTTTATGTTTTTTATCGAACTAGTTGAGATCGTTATCGAAAATTTAACACGTGCTGATTATGTATGTGCTTATGAAATTGAACGTGTAACTGATCATCATCGACGAAGTTCTACTTCTCCAATACCTAATATGAATAGTCAGGGTCAATCAACAAATAATAACCATCATAAACTTGTTTTATATGGTTTAACACGTGAAAATTGTGACCGTGTATATGATTTTCTTCGTCATGATATACGTGTTTGTTCAATAATGTTAGATAAAGATGATAAACGTTGTTTAGCAAGTGATTCTTGGCATGCATATGTACGTGATCTTTATTCAAATCCAGGTGGTTTTCGTCGACGACGTGTTCTATTACAAGTCAAACAAAATCAATTAACATTAGTTGGTTTTGATCAAGATGTTGATGCTATGCGAAAACAAATTTATGATTATTTTGTTGAAAATGCTATCTCATTTTATGAATCCGATTGAATAATTTGAAAAGAAGAAGAAGAAGAATTTAAAATAACAATAAAATAAAGGAAAAAAGAAAATTTGAATTCTTTTTTTTTTGTTTTTTTCTTTTTTTTTGAAATATTTTTTTTTGTATTTCAAATGTAGAATTAGTAAAAATAATTTAAAATGTGCTAATTATTGAAAATTATCTCTATGTAATTAGAAGTAAGTCTCAAGATATAATCAGCATATTATATCGCTTAAGGATAGCCGTCCCTTCTTTTTTTTTTTGATTATCTCTACTTCTCGAAGAGAGTACAACTGATCCGCATGAAGTTTTCACTACAGACAGAGTACCTAACGTAAGGACATACACGTTTGAGACTTGTTGCCGACTCCTGTCAAACTTTGTTCGATGCGACTGAAAATATTTTTGGAGATACCTTAGACTATATATCTCAGAGGTGATTTTAAGAGAGAGTCCGCTAGATCTCTACTCAAGCCAGCCACCGCTAAGTTCTTCTTTTGATTTTTTAGCTCATATGAACAGTTAAAAGATACAGAGAAGAATTTCCTACAAAACGGGCTATGTCAATGATCATTACAATAATCCTTAGTAATCGAGCACGCTGTTAGAAGCAAAAGGAAGTCTATAGTTGATGAGTGAGTAGGTAAAATGATGTTCATATTTAGCAGGTTTTTACAGCATAGACTAATATGAGAGAAAAATAAATGGCATATTTGAAATCCGTACAAAGATCCGAAATGAGATAAGGTACTTAATCTCATCTCTTATGAAAAACTAGATAAGTTGAACAAGATGATTATAAATAAATATTCTTACATAAATTCAGACTATCTCTACTTGACTTTATTTTATCAACTTTATAAAGTATACAATCAACTCAATGGCATTTTTTTTTGACACTCAGTTTTTGATGTTGATCATGAATATGTAGTCATATTTTTATTTGGAACGAATTTAGTCTATATAGTGGCCGATGATCAGTCAACATGGTGTTTGAGAACTATCAAAGTACACCAATTGTAATTCCTACTAAAACTTGTGCATACAGTTTTGTTCTTTGAGTAATATCTCGAAAGATGCAAAATTCCAAGTGTTTTTGAAAACTGGACTCATCCTTTTTTGCGATGTCAGAAGTCAGCAATGTTAGAGACAGATTGTTGATAAGATAATACTCACAAATCATAGACATCTCTTTCTTCTGAAAGCATGCTCGATTACTTAAAGTTATTGTAATCACCACTCTCACAGACTATTTTGTAGAAAATTTTTTATGCATCTTTTGAGACCTTGTTCGACTTAAAGTGATGAATAGAGGGAAATAAAATCTAAAAACAACCAACAAAATGTGAAAAACGTCACTAACAAAATTTGAAGACTGTAATATTCAGGGATCTAAACGAAAAATTTGGCGGTAGTCAGTCGTAAGTAAGTTTAGATGGCCTTTTGACTACCCTTCACTTAAGGTTTTTGCAAAAATCTTGGATTCTTTTTTTATGAGAAATACGTGAAGGTTCGAAACCAAAACTGAGTCGCTGACATTCGTGACTCTATAAATCCATGTAGCAAGGTCAAACACGAAAATAGCTGGTTTCACCTCTGGCGAATACTTTCGAGTATCTGTGATCAAAATTTCAGTTCGATTGGAGAATGTAAGGCCGAAATCGTGAGCAAGTCCGATGAGTTTTGAAGATCTCTGCCAAAAACCTGTAAAGGTCTGCTTTTACAATTTTTTTCTCACACATGGATTCCATCAAGAGGCGGGGACACCTTTAAGCCTCCTTCTAAAAAAAGCCAATTTTCGTCAGAAAAATTGTAATTGATATCAATGCATGTGAAGATAGGCCGAGGTGTAATCTTTCATAAACGATATGATTTTTTATTTGGCACCTCGTTTTTTCTGTCAAAATTTTTCATAACGTTTGAAGAAACATGCTTTTCTCTTCGTGCATCCCAGTATTCTGGAAGAAGCTTTATTGCAGCCAATAAGTTTTTTTTTGTTTGCAAGAACATGAAAAGCTGCAGTGCCGGCTCTATGAATTAAGCTTGTTTTCTACTATCAAAGAAAGCGCTTGTATAAATATATATGACCAATTTTTCAAACTTTTTTGAGGTATTGTATTTATCAGTTTTTTTCTTCGCATAACAAGTACGAATTAAAAAAACCCACTCCAGTCTGGCATGCTCTTGCAAATAAAAGAAAAATGAAATATATAGAATGGGGTTTCACAGTGAATTTCTGGCTGTTAAATGAGCTATTTTTTATCTTTGTTTGTTGAATATCACTCGAAAACATTATGATATAATGCTGAAGATTTTAGCAAAGCCTCCGCACTATAGATCCAACATATCTTCAATACTTCATGTGCTTTGAATGCACCTAACCCAAGATAAATTTCTGAGAAAAGAGCCCTAACTTTGCCAAGATTGAACTTTACAAAATGATCTTATGGTAAATTTAGGAAGTTTCAGTTTTGCTTTGAGTCATTCTACTGCACAGCACGAAGAAGTAGATAGTCTTAAATGGTATATATTTTCTTTGATTGTTATTATTAGAGTTAATACAAATAAATAAAAGGAAATGAAGAGGTGAATATTGTCAAATCAAAGTGCGGGCGTAGTTGTGAGCGTGATTCTGAAAATTGCGAGTGTGATTGGGTGTGGGTTGGTGTAGTTGTGCATGGATGTGGTTATGAGTCTTTTATTCTTTCATATAAACACCATACCCAAATCTATACTCACACCCACATCCACCAATACACACAAGATTAAATACGAAAGCAGAAATCAGTAGTTTGCATCGCGAACAAAGGTATTAAAGCTTACGAGATTTTTCACTACGTTTCTAGAGTCGAGGTATTCAATCGCATTTCATTTATTCGCAGTAGTAGTAATGTATGAGAATAGTTTGATGATTTGATAACAAAGATTTAATTATACAGAAAACTGTTTTTCGACCACGTATGTACAGAGTGACGTTTACTAATTGACAAAAATGCAGATAATAGTCACTGTCTACCTTGTCATGGCAGTTTTTCTAACTTTTCTTTGATTGGAAAGAAATACGTTTCGTTGATAACGTTCCAGCAACGAAAGCTATTACGGGTCTGTACGATGATTTTTCTTTCCAACTTATATTTGGTGAAAGCAATCAAGCAAGAGCAGAATCATTGATACGCTTGATAGGCAAGTATAAAATGAGTATATATTCAAAAGTAATTCATAAATGATACACAACATAATAGGTAAACATTAGTTTAAAATTATTTATCGTTCAGCAATATACTACAAGCACAAGCAAACATCATAAGAACAGTTTTATCAATAGATATACAAGACAAGCACGTGAGTCTATCTTGTGTATCGTTACGAACAAAATGTTCACGAATAATAGTAGTCACATTTTGTCGAAGCAATGGTGAATGTGGGTCTAGGGTGTGAGTGAAGACAAGACACATCGATATTCACATTCATACTCACGCTCAAAACAGTAAATAACTAAGGCTATAAGCTGAAAAATGTTGATCTTGAAGTTCATTTGCTAGTACGTCACATGAGTCTTAGTAATACGTTCGTTGGTTGATATGGGGTGAAAATATTCATAACTATTGAAAGAAGCTGCATCAGCCCAAATCCTCCCAGATTTTTTCTTAGAATGAGGTTTGTTACATATAGGAGAAATAGCAACAAAATTGGCGTGGATCAGTTGGACATCTTCCCTCGTTAGTAGTATTTGTCCAGGGGCTAGTTTCTGTAGTGTATATATCTACTGGTTCTGTATTGGTCCATATCGGTGACAAGCGCTGGTAAATAGTAGACTAGAGAGAAGCAAGAATCTCCTGTGTTACTGTCTCCGTCTTTGGGGCCGGTACGACTGAATGGTTAAGATGTTTGACACATCCGCAAGGTACTGTGTTCGAACCATGGCTCTATCACTCATAAAGTAACCTTGGACAAGTCACTAATAGCTGCTTTGTCTCGGATCACCCACTCGACAAAAAACTGGTTGCGTGGTTGGCATACAGTAAACTTTTGTGGTTAGTCAGTATGTATGTACGGGGAGCTTAAGTGATTAAGCAGGAGAACTCTGAGTCAGACCGACCGTCTGTCCCCAGCTACATTCATTAATAGATGTAGGAAAAATATAGGGCTCTCGAAACTCTTCTCGGACAACACCCTATACCGCGAGGTAGCCGAAAGGCGAGATATTCTTCTTCGTCTTTGTGCGTCTTCTATAGCGTTCTTTCATTGGTTTTGACAATGCTACGAATAGAATCACCATCACGACCATGGTGATGAATTGTGTTGTGGCAGCTTCACATCGATGATGTTGCCCAACTACAAACAGAACGATAAAATCATTTTTCGTCACTATGAAGTTTTATTTGTCCAGAGATGGAAAAGCAATCAACAAACAAGTGCGCAATAAATGATGCGTGTATATGCTGCACAGGATATGCATTGCACAAAAATCTGCTTAGATCAATTACTGCTCGAGTGATTTAGATGCAAGATGAAAATACAAAAACTGTCTGAAGAACGAACCAAAGTAATCGATTTAATCAAAAGGAATATTCATGAAGATATGCTCAAAATCGAAAAAAGTCATACAACTCAAATGCAATCGCTTGAAAATAGGGTCATTTGGGACATGCAGGATACTTGTAAGGAGCTGACTCAGAGAAATAGCATGCTGAGCGAACAGGTTAACAAATTAAGTCATGCCGTGCATTATATACTAGAGCACATTGTTCCCTGTCACGACACGCAAGCGTGCATGGAAATGGTGACGACGTTAATTAGTGGATCTCGTCCTTTTTCCTGAAAAGTCATACGAGATCGTGAGCGAATGAAGCGTCTAAAGCATGATTGCTGCTGTTTTCTGGTGGGGCTTTTTAGTTTCGTAATTGCTATTGGAATAGCTATGGTGGCTGCGACAAGAAACATTCGAACTGACAATTGAAAGCTTTCGGATCTAAGAAATAAAAAGCAAACCAATAAATCAGACAGAGTATAGGTGAGATGTGAGTGGGTATGGGTGTGACGTAGATTTAGATCTCTTTACTCTCACCCACACTCTCAGTGTCTTGGCTCATGTTTTCTTATCCTGGAATGCAATAGTATTTACGAGTTTTTTCATGAAAAATCTTTTTGAAAAGTCGAAGAAAATATCTTTTTCTATGCAACTCAATGAGTTCTACCCAACGATACAAAAGAAAATTTGCTGAAGCTGTGAATTGTCAACTCTTTATATTTGTTTTTCTTTTAAAGTTTTCTTTCACATTAAGGGCTACGAATTTTATTCAAATCGTTGGTGATATAGATAGTATGAGAGGTCAGCTACATGATGTATTTTAGGAGACGACTCTGTCTGCCCATATCGATTCTTTAGAATTAAAATAATTTTTTCCACATAAAAACAGATTTAAGTGCCTTCCAGTATTTTGCATTTTCTAAATAAAATATTTAAACTAAAATGAAAATAAATAGATCAATCGATATAGAATTTTACTTTCTGTCAGTTTCTAAAAATTACTTGTGTTCCCCAAAGATGATCTGTACATTCAAAATCTCATTGTATTTTGCCAATTTCTGAGGATAGTTAGATGCTAGAAAACTGAATTCTTAATAAGGCTACTGTCAGCAAATTCGCAAATGAGTATGAAGTAGCAAAAAGTAGTCTCTTTCTTTGATAGCACATCAAAGTTTGAAGTTGGATGGTTTTTCCCTTGTCTTTTACTGTTTGTTTTATAAATTTTAAAAAAATCATAAAAAATGACTACATTTAACTTTCTAGCAAGATATACGTGTTTCTTGTCTACATATTCAGCCACAGTCACATCCATTGCCGTCGTAATACTTGAAAAAAATATCCATTATAATACGAAGGAATTTAAAGGTAAAGATCATTTTCGGCAGTAAACGTTATTATTAGAAACTGACAAAACTTGAAATTCTCTATCGATTGATCTATTTGTTTTCATTTTAGTGCGAATCTTATATGCGAATAGATCAAATAAAACTAACATATAGAAAAATTGAATTAAGTATATCGTCTCTCTCAAAGACTTAATTGAAAATGTTAATAAATCTCTTACATAGATTAATAGTCTTTTATTTGTCGAATTGATCGCCTGCATACAAGGCAATAAGATTTTACATAATATATTAAAATAAATAAGCAAATGTTAGTCTAAATATTAAAAAATGTTAGTAGAAATAATTTTCTTTAATTTTGTTGATTAAATATGTTTTATTTTTGGATCAATAGCACCAACTAATGCTTTAACAATATAATCTCCAATTGAAAATGGAACATTTAATCCATGACATTGTCGAATTTTTTCTCTTTCAGTTTTATAATCATCTGTAACATCAACATTTTTCATTATTCTTTTCCATTCATTTAAATAATCAACACAGGTTGGATCATCAGTACATATTAAAAACATAACATGAGTGGTTTCTGTTTGACGTCCTTCATTCATTAAATATTCAAGATCTTGAACATTAATATTTCCTTTATCATCTGTAGATGCTCCATCAGTTGCAATAAAAACAAGAACTTTTTTATCACCACCTCGACGAGTTGCTGGTAATCGAAAAATATGTTCTAAAGCAGTTACCAATGGTGTATAACCACGTGGTAGTTTAGCGAATATTTGATTAACTGTTTGAGGATCTGTAACATTGTGAACAGATCGTCTATTAAGGAAATAAATATCCACACCACTTGAATCAAATATAACACCAATTTCTAAAACAATTTTAACAATGTGACAAAGTTCATCCCATCGAGTACGATCAGTTCCATCTACCGTTGTTGTCATTGAACCAGAATCATCACAAAGAATAATTATTTCATATTCTTCAAGTTTACGAAGATATTCACCTAATTCTTGTCGAATTTCATATTTGAGAGTTAATTCACGAAGACGATCATCAACTATCAAACAAAATTTATTTTATTGATTATAAAAATTTCGAAAAAATATTAAACTTTTATTAAAGAATTTTCCCAAGATATTTTAATTAGTTAGAATAATTGTGCATTATTGATTAAATTCTTTATATTCAGATTTATTCATATTATTTTTTTGAATTGTAATTTAAATGATAATCAAATTCAAAAAAACAAAAGAAAACATGGAAAATAACTTAAGCCTTAATCAAATCAAAAATGGTCTTATTACCATGACATAGTTTTAAGAATTTTCATTACAAAACAAGAATCAACGAATAAATTGTTTTCTTCTTTAGAAATAAAAATAAATATTTCTAATCTCCTCATGCATCTTATTTCAATAAGAGCAAGATCGATGGTCTATTGTTTAGTAAACTATATCCCTATATTGATGGTATTAGTTAGTTATCGTGAAAATAATGAATGATTATTTCATAGATGGCAGCTATATTGTTTTCTAATCAACAATATCTTGTCAGTATATAAATGATAGTACGAACAAATATTTTATATCGTATAAGAGTAAAATTTCGCAGTTTTATTCTTTCGTTGATTGATTCTTGTTTATCGTCATAGATATTCTATTGACATTATTCATATAACATTATTATATTATGCTTTATTTGTTAAAATTAATTATTTATCTCTTATGACAATATAGTTATTAAATGATAAAATGTTCAATTCTATATCATGACGTTTTTCGACAAATATTCAATTAACTAGAGTCAAAAAGTAGCTCATTTGGCAACCCAAAATTTTCTGTGGACCTTCATTCTATAGGCTCAATTTTGTCTTTTGCTTGAAAAAACATGTCAGAAGGTAGAGCATGACAGAACCCTTTTTTTTTCAAATTTCACTTTTAAAGGAAAAAAACAGTTCAATGTCTAAAAAAAAATGGCGTTCTAATTATAAAAAGTACTCATTTATATAATAATGGCAAAGTTTAATTCAAAAAATGATCTCTGCCAAGCCATGCATCGTGGCATGATCCTTCAAAAACAAAAATGAAGCTCGTTCGAGAATGCTGAGATGCGCGATCAGAAAAACAAGACATAAGCATAGAAAAAATGAAAAAGATTTTGCAGTTTATTTGAAAAAAAATCATATTTTTCAAAAAGAAAATAATGGAAAGTTTTAGGAAAAACGAGATATCAAATAAAATTCCTCTATATTTATCTCAATTTTCATGTGTAAAGATCAAATGTTATTTTTTTATATTTTAGAATAAAATCAAATCTGTTTCATATTTTCAAATATTAATTTCAATGCTTGTTTCAAAAAAATTTAACTTACTTATTGTTGTTGGTTCATATGGAAAACTGTGAGGACGTGAAGAAAGCGAATGATAACATGTTGCTGCAAGAAAGGAAAAAAACTAACAATTTATATTAAGATTATTGTTTACAGATCAAAAATTATTTTTTAAAGTTAACATCGAAAATTAATCGAAATTTAAAAAGTAAAACAAAACAAACTAATAGAATAAATCTAATCAATGGAAACTTACCTATTTGTGCAGATTCTGGTTGAGCTGGTTCTTTAGTGATTTCTGATTCTTTTAAGTAACTACTGTTGTTTGTAGATTCCATAGAACTAACACTATCTGTTTCTTGCTGATATCGTGCTTGAGAATTTGTTAACCTTGTCGAAAGTTCCATTACCTTTATTTTAACTAAAGAAAAACATCAATATTTTTGTTATATCTCTTATCTTCGAATGACGACAATGGAGAAAAAGAATCCCCCTTCGCATGGAATCGAACCAATGCACCTCCTGCTTTTCGGGCAGACGTATTCACCACTTTACTAAAAACGGTATCTCCTCTTCGTCTTACGGTTATGTGGGAACAATACGATCGTAACAATTTTAGAAATCGACTTCTTATTTGTCTTTTTTTGACATTAAAAAAAATGTGCAAACCATCGAATATGAATGAAACCTTTTGATTAAAGATTCATCTAGAAAAACAAATAAAGAAAAAGAGCTGTTTATATTGAATATGAATAATTGCTTTAATATAAATACTTGACATAATAAACCCTTTTAAGTAACATAGATTAATAACACCTATGCATGACTATATAGCAGAGATACAGAACCTGCAACAAAGATGGGAAAACAATTCGAAGAATTTTTACAGACTCAACAGTTCTAAAGAAATCAATGGGACAAAAATTTTTTCAAAAGCTTCTATGAGCACAATATTTTTTTAAAAACTTTCTCAAATTCAAAAAAACATTTTCCCGAATGCGCAATTGTACATACGAGTATATTCTATACCTTACCTCTCCTATATAGGTTTTTTCATTCTGTTCTTCCTCTTTTTTTTTTCATTCTGTTCTTCCTAGTTTTTTTTCTTTTTTCATCGACATCATCATATTTTGCTTCGTTGAATATCTCCGTTGATTCATCTGTTTACGTCAGTCAGCGTTTTCAAACGTCTAAATATTGTTATCCATATTCAATTGCTTCGTATGCATTTACAATACAATACACATTCATAACATAACTGTCGAACGAACCATTCATCATTATTTATTATGATTCAAAAAACAATTGATCATCGATAATATGAATCTATCAGCATCAATTTAAACTGAATAATTTAAAGATTTGCCCGATTGGAATTTGAGCGAGTCCGATCGTCAACATATGTTAAACCACTTTTATCTTTGTCCGATTACTAAAATTCATGTCTAAACGATTTTCTTTCGGATAAATTCAACGCAGTCAAACTTTGATGTTCAAAACAATGATTGACTATATCAAAAAAAAATCGAATTTAATCAAATTTTCGTTTTAAATATAATACATAATGTACGAATAAATATATCATCAAAGAACATTCTAATTACATGCAATATTTGACACATACTTAGAGCATACGAAAAATAATCAGATTTGGAAGAAAAAAAAACAGAAACAAGTTATTAAACATTTTATTTTATCAGATGTTCGAAGTAGTTCACCTATTTATATACATATAATTGCATTCGTTTAAACCATTTTTCGAAAGTTTGTTTTTATAATCATCTTTGTTGATCAAGTTCATGATCTTGCTTACGGCTCAGTGCAACGATTGTGAGTTGCTTTCATTGGTTAGATTCTGTTTGACTAGATCGAATAATCGAAAACTACACAGTGCCATGTTTGGGGAATCCGGTGGTTGTCGAATAATTTTGGATATTTTCCAATTCGAAATAGTTCGAAGCATCTTTATAAACATGTGATTCCAAGACAATTATCGATGTAATAGTAGTGATCGATGGTTTGTCTTTATTCAACATGATGAATTAGGATGGAATTAGTTGTTTTGAAAACCATGCAAAACAGGAGTTTTGTAGCGAAGCAGCTGCGCTGAATCACACTAGGGAGAGTTCTACCGATTGATTTCTAAGCAGCTTTCGGCGATGTTCTATCAGTTTGTTTATAGTGTGGGTGTGGCTGTAGATTTCCAGTTCATCCATACCTGCAACATTTCTGACATTCTATACTCAACAGTAATACTTCTTGGAAAAAGAAATTTTAATAAGCGATTTATTAGAAAATTGTCATCATGATGGTCATGCTCTTTGATAGTCTCCAATTTACAGTATATTAAATTTGTTCAAACTTATACACAATGCTGTAGTTGCGAAAATCTTGACGACAACAATCTATGTATAGAATATTACATTTATTTTCACAATTACGATTGGTTGAATTTTACGAGAAGAAATATTTTGAATGTATTCGATATATACAAAAATAAACGAATCTACAGTTTTAACAAATGATGTTGAATATTCTTAGGTATAAACATTGACTCCAACAACGTTCTATTAGTTGTTGTAACATATTATAAGACAGGTACCATGCAAATATTGTAGAATTGTCAAAGTTGAACTGTAAACTAAACAGACCATTGAACGCCAACTTGTCAAAACAGAAATACCATTCAGCTATGGTTTACTTCATACAGATACACGAAAAAACTCATTTTCTAGCATTTGAGAAGAGTATAGATTGAAGAAACTTTTTAATTTTTCTAGTAAATAATTAAATTGACATTACGAAAAGCAGTGACACAAAACAACTATCAAAGAAGCTACTATGACTCAACGACGCAGACCTGAACTTGGATCAAAAATTACTATCATTCTGGTTGAATCAATAATATTTCTGTACAATCTTCAAGTGATTTTAAGAAAGGCCAAACAGAATACAAAATTCGACGTCAAAAAAAACACTACCATCTACTAAATAAATAATGAATCAATACAAGTGATAACAACGATTTCTAATTGAGAAGCTGGGCGTCAAATTTTAATGAAAATCGAATATATTGATTATACTAATATACATACATTATCACATACATGTAGTTTGCCATCAATGAATCAAGTTCTATTTATAAAGAATGTTTTCATAAAGATTTTTTTGAAATTTTATTTACTCGGTAATCTTGATTTTGATTTAGAATGAAAGCAAGCTGCAACACTTTGTCGTTTTGTTACACAGTTGAAATCTATGATTGAACGTTATACTAATGAGCAAACATTTGCAAAGTTTATTAATAAGCAAGGTAATCTTATTATTGGTGATCCATTGAAAGAAAGTATTAAACAAATGATGGAATGGGTAAACAAGCCTATCAAATAGTTTAGAAGCACCTGCAACACTAACATATATTAAGAACTGACCATAAGAAATAATAATCAAAATGTGTTTTATTAAATAATATTGTTGTTTCAATATGAACTGGTGAAACACAATAAATATAAAGTACTCTAACAAATATATTTTTCTTTGAAAGAGCGATATCTGCAATAGAACAATATACAAAAATACAAACGAATATTCTATACACTTCATGTAAGGTTGTGGGTGTGGGTATAGCTAAATTGAACACCCACAGCCCACAACGATATCCACACCTGCCCACACCCTCACATCTACATCCACACACGGAGAAACATCAAAATATTACGCTTACCATTTAATAAATGGTCTACCAGATAAAACGAAAATCAGATCACAAAACTTCAAATATTAAGACTCAATACGAAACTCGTAAACAACGAACAAATAAAAGTTAAATGAAATTTTGACGATCAAACGACTATATATACAAGTTATAAGGAAAGAACAGTATTGAAACAAAACAAAAACCAAAGAAAAAGAAACTTCAACTAAAATTGAATGATGTACGGACACATTTTGCATTTAAGAGAAAAGACTAAATGAAACAAAATCCCAGCTATCGACCTCTGAAAGAAAATGGACAAATTTGAGACAAGTGTCAAGTCAAACAATAGTAAAGGATTCACAAGTAAATAAAAAAAATTAGCATAAATAGTCTTTTAACATCTCAATCAGATGGAGAAAAACCTCAATTCGATGGAAAAATATATAGAGTAACAAATTCTTCACAACAAGGGTGTGGGTGGGTGTGGCAGAGTATATGTACATCCACATATCCACACCCAAAATTTCTTATCCCCTTCAGTGGTGTACGGATGTCGAAAATCTTTTCTTCTTTAGAAGGAACTACTGATGCCATTCTATCCAGCATGAAGTCCTACATTCTTACCAATAAATGATATTTAAATGTGCTCAGGATTGTTTCCTTCGAAATTATTCACTGAACTACAGGGCATGTTAATCATTTTTCGGATCAATGGACAAGTTTTTTTCGAATATTTTTCAAAAATTTTAAAGAAAATCAAAAGCGACATCACATATGAAAAATTCAGTATGTGATCTCTCGATTTACAAACGTGGCAGCTGATATAGTCGCCAAGAATCAATCTTCGTGAATTCAGAGATTTTGCCGGTTTCCACCATCGTTAGCGTATATAACTTAAGTTAATAGATGATATATAATATTCTCATTATCGAGTTTCATTCCGTTGGAGATTATCTATATTTTGGTACATCACATACAAGAATTTTCCTCCTTATTAATCTATTTTCTTCGTGAACATGTATGGGATCAGTTTTGACTAATGTATTCACATTTGGTAGCTAGTGCTGGAAACTCGCTATTAACTATCTTGTCTACAGCATATTGCAATGAGTGAAATAGCCGTTGAGTTTGGTAGCTCCATTTGATGGTCTATCCAATGGCGCCTGAGAGTAAAAAATAGTTTTAGAGTTACCCTGGATACTAGCGCCACTCTTCATATTCTCATGCAGACTCTCTCATACGACCTGCATTTGATCTTGGTATAGACCAATCATTTAAAAAAAACAAATATCAAAGAATCAAAATAGATTTAAAAAAATCCGTAACAATTCAAGATGATATTTAGCAAGTCAACGCCGATCTTGGCATCGAAAAATCATTTACTGATAAAACAACTGGTAATGAATCAATATAAATCCATAGGAGACAATAGTAATTGATAATAACATTAAACAAAGTACACCTGTTTCTAACATTGATAATTCATTTGATGATAAAATAAATAATAAAGCTTTAACATAATCAAACAACAATACAGCAACAATTGATATAGATTTTCAACAAAGTACTCGTGATCTTCATATTAATAAATTATTTAATGATAAATTCAATAACAATGATTTATTACAAAAGAACAAGAAGGTACCAACGATTGATAATTTATTAAAAAAGCTGCTCCTGACCTTAACATAGATAAATAGTTTACTGTTG